CAAATACTATTCCCAAAATGTATGTCCCAGTCTACTACTTGAATGCATCACCTCTCTGTCAGGAGGTGGGTAGTATATCTTGGTCTTCTGGAACCAGAAGTGGGCATTGCATTGATTGGAATTCTTAAGTCTTTCAATATCATTTGTCTTTACGATTCTGCCATACTTTGATAACCATTTAGGGGCTGGGAAGAGGGATTCTGCTTTCAGGATGTTTGTGGGCATGTGTTAAGTACCATGCTTTGTTCGGCCATTCTCCAGTTGATGAGTACCCCTCAGTGTCCTTGCTACCACAGAAAGAGCCACTCTAAATACTTCCATACATAGGGGCCCTTTTCCTCTTGCTTTGGTGTCTTTGGGGTCTGGGCCTAGCGTAGAGTTATCACTGGGTCCCAGGGAATGCACAATTTACTGACATTTGGGAGCATAGCTCCACCAACAGTACATTCCTATGCCTGTTTTCCTGCAACCCTTCCAACGGTTGGCATTTCCCATTTTTGTCACCTTTACCCTTGTGATGGTTTTGAGGTGGAGCCTTAGAGTGGCTTGAATATTTTCATGAGTTTTCTAATTATTAATAATTTGGAGCACTTTTCATATATTTGTTGGCACCTTGGATTTCTTTCTTTGTGACCTGCATAGATCATATCCTTTATCAAGGAATGGCTCGTCGTATTGCAGATTTGAATCGGTTCTTTATATATCTTGGAAATGAGACACATGTGAGAAAAACTGATATCAGAAAATCCAACATGCAGGTTGGATTTATACCAAAAATTCAGAGTTGGTTCAATATTAGGAAAACTATAAACCTGATAGACCATACAGATAGTGAGGACATCAAAGAAAATGCTGTTATTTTATCAGTAGATGCAGCAAAGGCTTTGACACAATACAACTCCCATTTCTCTTGTTAAAAATACCATAAAACATAGTAAGTGCATATTTATTTAATATGTTAAATAGTGTATCTAAAACTAAGATCCAGAATATTATGTATAGTTGGTATAATTTTAAGCCCTTTCCCTTGAGATCAGAGTAAAGTAAGAGTTGTCCATTCAACGATTGTTATTTGGGTTAGTGCATGAAGTGCTAGATTCAGCAAGAAGACTAAACACTTTGAAAACGATATAACTAAAGCCAACTAAAATTAATGGGGAAAATTAGTTCAGCAAAGTTACAGGATATGAAATACATCCGGATAAATCCCAGCAGGAGGAAATTGCATTTTAAAAAACTATGGAGTTGTGTAACATACTTTGGAGTCCACTTACCAAGACATCCATGCACAGAAGAGCTGTCTAAATACAACTCTGAAATACTCTTTGGAAATAGACAGACCTAAATAATTGGGGAACTATCAGTTGACCATAGGTGGGCTGAGCCAAGAAAATAAACCTTTCAGTTGCCACTGGATCACCCCCACTTTTCCTGAGATCAGTTTATCAGGGTAAGAGATCTGGCTGGGGGTCCAGGAAACTTACCTGGTTTGACCTTCATTTTGTCTGGCCACATTGTGGGGGGTTCAGTCATTACACATTTTTTAAATACTATGTGCAAAATGAGCTAGAGGTCAAAACGTTCTAACTGGAATGGAGTCTTACGTTGCACTTACTATGTTTTATAGTATTTTTGAAAAGAGAAATGGGAGTTGTATCGTGTCAAAGCCTTTGCTGCGTCTACTGATAAAATAATAGGATTTTCTTTTGATGTCCTCACTATCTGTATGGTCTGTTGTCAGCTTTATAGTTTTCCTAATATTGAACCAAAGCTGAATTAGTTAGCAGTTGTAGTTTCCAAGTATGTCACAAATGTTATTTTAAGATATTTGTTTCCTTTTCTTGGGAATTTCAGCTTATAGGCCAAGGTGGGACCCAGCACCCAACAATCATGTCAGTAAAAAGCAGCTTAATTTGGGTAGGGTGGTAGGGAGGAGTTGGTTTTTAGAGAAATCTCCTATTTCCTTCATTATGTTTACAAATGGAAAACTGGAAGCACTATGATCAATGCAGTGACCGTCTGTCATTCCATAGGAACGATGATGAAGTGTATCATTCTTCTGACATATAGTTTTGTATAGAGTCATTGAAGGAATTTGTTTGGCTTTGACGGTGAATATTTATTACTGTGAATTTGTTTTTCTTTTTTCTTTTTTTTCCAGGGGAATGGGGGAAAGAGAAAATAGATTTGTGTTAATTGAGGGGGAAAAACCAAACATTTAAATACAGGGATTGGGGGCTGCTATGGCATAGCATACACCTCCCCCCCCCCTTTTAAGGCAATTGGGGTTAAGTGACTTGCCCAGGGTCACACAGCTAGTAAGTGTCAAGTGTTTGGGCTGAGGCTGGATTTGAACTCGGGTCCTCCTGACTTGCCCCTTATGGCATACACTTTCAAATGAGGTTACTGCATTGTTGTTCCTCCCTCCGCCAGCCAACATAACAATATCTGCAGCCCCACACTTGGGCATACCAAATCTGGCATGGGCTGGGGCATCTTCTTGCTCTTTTCTTTGGAGCCATTTTGTCGATGCTGTACCATTCACTTTGGGGTGTTTTCTGTGTGTGTGCACATGCTGCTTCTTTCCATTGAAGTTGTTATAGTCATTGTGTACATTGTTTTCTGGCCTCTGCATCAGTTCATATAAGTCTCCTCACGCTTCTCTACATTCCTCACCCATGTTTCTTATAGCAGCACAGTAATATTCCATGACATCACGTACCTCAATTTGTTCAGCTGTTCTGCAGTTGATGGGCATTGACTTTTTTTCCAATTCTTCACTATCACCAAGGGTGCTGCTCGAAATATTTTGGTGTCATTGTGTGGACTTTGATCTTATCAATGGCTTCCTTGGGGAACCCAGTCAGAGAATCTCTCTAGGCCGGACACAGATGTTTGATTTACACACACTTATGGTTTTTATCTGCTTGGAGCCCTTGGAGCTGATGATTACTTGGCTTCTGCTCTGTCCGTGTCTGCTTCCAGCATTTTCTCCTTGGGCGATCTTTAAAGAGGTTTAAACTGTGAGTGTTGCCAGCTTATTAAAACCTTAACTCTTCTTGCTGTCTATTAATTAGACTGTGAACTCCTTGAGGACAGGAAGCACTTTGGCTTCTCTTTGTATCCTTAGCACTGAGTACAGTGCCTCGAACACAGCAGGCACTTCAGCAGTGCTGGTTAACCTGACCTGATCTGATCCCCTGGCCCTGAGCATAGCCTGCTCTTTTTTCAGTGGAGCAGCTTGATTCCTCCTGGCCATTACCCCATTTGCACTACCTTGCTCTTGGAGAACCCAGGCAGACTTTGAAGACATCTCCAGTGGGTCGTTGGAGCTGCATCTGCATTCTTAGTTTGGCTGGGAGAAAGCATAGCTGTTGTTTGTTGTTCAGTTGTTTGGGTTGTGTCCAGCTCTTTGTGACCCCATTGGGGATTTTCTTGGCAGAGATACTGGAGTGGTTTGCCATTTCCTTTTCCAGCTCATTTTCCAGATTTAGGAACTGAGGCCAACAGGGTGGAGTGACTTGCTCAGAGTCACACAGCTAGGAAGTGTCTGAGGCTGAATTTGAGCTCAGGTAGATAGGCCCAGCTCTCTTATCCACTGCAGCACCTCCTAGCTGAAATATACTTAAAGGTCTTTCAAACCCTAATTTGAGTCTGTCAGTAAGATGGTTTAAAGCTTCTACTCTGAATAATGAAACTAGAGCAACCAGATGGAGTGGGGATATTTGGCTGAACATCCACCCACCCCATTTTCCTTTATTGTCTTTTTCATTTCAGCAACAAGTTGTTGATGACCCTTCTTGAGTGCCAGGACTGACCTTCCACTATTTGCCATTCCATTGACAGATAACACAGTAGACTGAGCCCTTCTCATTCTTTTTGGGGTCAGTACAGCTAATTGGGAATCATATCTCAGTGACCCACATTTAAGAGCCCCCAAACTGCCCCTAACACTTTGGATTTTTAACAGGAAGTGAAGAGTTAATCTCTATCACTCCCAGGATGTCCTTAATATCTGGTACACCACCTTGAGCACATTGGGACCATTGTGCCGGAGGTTTTGCTGTGTGGTCACTCACTGATCAGTTCTTGTGGCCTTGGAATCCTGTGCAAGGCAGATTTGGTGACTTAATGGTGGTCTTTGCTTATTGTATGTTACTGAGGTTGCAGAATTGTGGGCAGCCTCATGTGAAGCATGTTCCCCCTCACTGGAGGTCAGAGTGTTGGCTGCTCGCTTCCGAGGAGCTAAGACCACGTACTCTGTCACCACCTTTAACAGACTGTGGGCTTTTAATCTGGAGAAGTTGAACCTGGTTCTTTCCAGACCTCAGTGTTTCTAGTTGCTGGGTTGTTGTAAAAGAACTGCTGATTGGTTCCCATTACTAATGGAAAGTGGGAACAAGTTGTCTCTCCTCAGTGACCGGATAGGAAAAATGGTTACTGCGGTTACTTTTCACTCTGGGACTCTTGAGTGGGCTGAGGAAGAGGGATGATAAGTCTTTTTCCTTTGGAGCTACTTGATTGAGTTTTTAGAATGTTGCCATTGGTGGCACTTTGTTTTGGAACACTTGTCTTCAAGATCAGGGACAGGGTTTAGACAGGCCCAGAAGCAGCTTAGACACTGGGACTCCCCTCTCTCCAAGTTCATCCGGGCCAGTTTTGTCTCATTTATCAGCTCTAAAATGGAACAGTTTTCTCGAAAGTTGCTAACCAGAGTAACATTTGCCTGTGTGGGTATGTCAGTGTCTAAATTCAGCAAGTGATGATTTTCAGAATGTTTGAATAAATTTGCTGCCAGTTGGAGGCTAGTGGTCTTTGTGGATAGACTCCCTACCCATAGTTGCCAGTTCCTTCTGCACGGTCACCATTGCCTCAGCCAGCACAGAATTAGCCTATGGATTTGAAGGCTCCTTATGTTTGACCCCATAATGTATAGACCAGAATTGGTATCTGCAGGGCTTGGCAGTTTTAATTTTACTAACTTTATGATTTTCTTTTAGGGACACACAGAAAATTTCCAAAATGAAGGTGGATAGGACTAAACTGAAGAAGACGCCTACTGAGGCTGTGAGTATTTGAAGGAAGGTCTTTACCTGGGGAAGATTGTGGCCCTTTCCCTGAGTGAACCCCCCCCCCCCAGTGCCCAGCCTGAGATGTTGGGTTCACTTTGTATTCATCAGCCTCCTTGCCTTCATGAGGACAGTCCTCAGATACGAGGCCTCACTTAGAATGGCCTCCCATTTAGGTCCCATACACTATGACTGGGAGCTATGTCTCTTCTCTTTCTCCTGTCGGTGGGGCTGAAATAGTGAGCTATACTCTTCTGACCTCCATGGTCAGACAAAGTGTAGCTTAACCTCTGGCCCACCATGCTATTCGAATGTCTCCTTTTCAACTCATTTTGGTAACCCAGGTCCAATTGTGCACACTCCTAGCTCGTTGAACCTGCCATGTGATTTTAAGATGGAGTTAGCTGTTGGCCAAATTGGAATTGCAATGTTAAATTATGAGAATGGCCCGGTAAATTTAGTGGCAGCCCCAGATGCCAGATAAAGTGATTGTTATTGGCTAGTCAGAAAGCTATCTAGCCCAAGATCCTTCAGTCAGAAATAGTGGTACCAGAACAGGCAGCCTTTGAACATGGAGGAAGTCTTGGGTGGTGTGTGTGTGGGGTCTGAAAAGCCCAGTTTTGCAGTGGGATCATTCTAGAAGAATAGAGGCTTTTGAAGGGAAAGAGCCTCTCTTAGGAAGTTGCTCTGTCATCTGCCACAGAGGCATGGGGCTGATGAGGCATGAGAGCCACCGGGTTGGCTTTAGGGCTTTGGGTTTGGTGTAGGAGTTAGACTGTAGGGTGCTCAGGGCCAGCCAGCCCCAGAATTTAGACCCTGCATGTGTTAACAGCTTCCCAAAAATAATAGTGCTCTTGCTTGGCTAACATGAGCTGTGTGGGAGAAAATCCTGGCACTTTTGGTACTGGGATAACCTCTAGTACCATTCCTGCCAGTACCCTACTACTTTATTGAAGATGGAACTTAAGCCTGTCGGAAGGCAGGATGAGGTATGAGACCTCAGGTCTTCTGACCTTTCCACAGCTGCTTCTTCTAATGACTTTGATGTGGGAAAGAATCCCACAAAAGAGGGATTGACAAAGTCTGCACTCTGTGCCAGGGACGCCAGGACTCAGCATGAGGGAATTTGAGAGAGAAAAATGGGAGAATATGAAGAGTGGCAAAAAAGAGGAGACCCACGGCTTTAGATCTGGAATGGACTGTCTTAGTTTACATCTGAGGAAACTGACCCATTGTCATTGTCTGCAGTCACACAGGGAAGAAAACAGTCAAACTAAAGTTCGAAACCTGCTCATCTGATTATGTCTCCCAGGTAGCAGTAGGTTTGAAGAAGGAAATTGGAAATGGTCATGAGACAGCAAAGTGGGCTCTGTGTGCTGTGACCTGGGTTGCTTTCCTTTTTGCTTCTTGGAGCCATCTCCTCTTATGAAGCCCTTCCTAGACTTGGGGTGCTTGTAGGAAGGGCCCTCAAATTATGGCAAATTCAGCTCTGATAATGACCTTTCCTGTCCAGCCCATTATTCGGAGCAATGCCTGCTTCCATGGTGACGGAGCCCCAAGAGGGTGAAGGAGACCACTCTGGGTAGGAACTTGTAGGCAGGGACCCCAGTCTGAGTACAAAACTCTGCAACTTCCCTCCTTTCCCTCCTCAAAAAAGGGGAGGGGCATTTTGGGCCTCTTAATTTGTTATGGATCCCACTTACTGCCTGGTTATATATCTGATTGAACCTCAGGTTGATGTTGCTGCAGGTAGGGAGGGGAGTGGAATTACTTGAAAAATAGACAACGAGGTCTCCAGTATCTCCATTAATGAGAGTCCTTGTCTTTTCTTTTAGCCTGCAGATTGCCGGGCTCTTATAGACAAACTTAAGAGTTGTAATGATGAGCAACTCCTCTTGGAACTTCAGCAGATCAAAACCTGGAATATTGGAAAGGTGGGTAGGCTGGCCTAGACCATAATCTTCCACACAAGGACAACTTCCTGGGGCTTATATGATGTGCCTTGGCCCCCCTCAAGACCAACCATGGCCACTCTCGTCCTTGGAAATGAAGAACAACTGTAGCTTAGGGAGCACCTTTCTACCCTACATACAACAGGCCCTTTGATCCAGAGTAGTTGGATTTATGAACCACCAAAAAAGAGATGGCAAGTGAAATTGTGCCCATTGTTGATGACAAAAACTTGGTTGGTTCTGAGCTTCCAATGCTCAGTTGCTCTCATTTTCCAAGTACATTTTGGGTGATAAAAACTAGACTAAATGTTGATGCTAGTGAGAAACATTGATGATACTTGCGTGCAGTCAAAGGCTTTTTGCTCTGTTAGCCCAAGTTCACTCAGGAATCTTGCTATTTGCTCCAGATAGATGAATCCTAGGTAAGAAAGATAGATGTTTTTCCTCTGAAATTGAAGCAAGCAGAGCCTTTTCACTTTGGTAGGGATAAACACTCAGATGTTCTACATTTCCCACTGAGATGACATTGGTCAAGAAGAAGAGTTACTTGGGGTACCAGGTTCCAGCATTAGGCTAGGCCCATGAAGCCATCCTGGGGCTCTTTGGCTCTAGCAGGAGCAGGAGAGTGATGGGGATGAGCAAAGGTGCTTTGGGCAACAGACCCTTGCCAGGGTTCAGGGACCACAGTTTGTATGTGCTTGTCTATGCCCTCTTCCTTCTCTTTTGCTTTTCCAGTGTGAACTATACCATTGGGTGGACCTGTTAGATCGATTCGATGGGATTCTGGCGGATGCTGGACAGACTGTGGAAAACATGGCTTGGATGCTGATGTGTGACAGGCCTGACAAAGAGCATCTGAAATTACTGCTCTTGGCAGTCTTGAACTTTACTGCCCTGCTCATTGAGTACAGCTTTTCTCGGCATCTGTACAGCTCCATAGAGGTACGTGGGAGAAGTGGACCACTCCCTAGTGACCTGGCCTTGATTCTGTCCCCTCGTGTTTGGATGGACAAATGGAAAAGCATTTCTTGAGCACTTACTATGTGCTAGGCACTGAGCCAAACACTTGGGGTACAGTTCCAAAAGCAAGACAGGCCCTGTTCTCCAAGAGCTCCCAGTTTCCACACGTGGGTGCTTTCAACTACAGGCCTGATGAAAAACCCTCCTAGTCCTTAGGGTGCAGGGGCAAAGCCAGTGTCATCTTTTGTGTCATTTTCCATTAATAAATCCACTGAACCATTTGATAATGCTGTGGATGTTGGTGGTGATTGCTTTCTTTCCCTGGTCTTCAGTGACCTGGCATTACAGAAAAGGGTTAACTTCCTAAATGTTGATTACTTTTGGGGGAGGAGTTAAATTCTAACTGAGGCTCTTGGACTCACTTCCCCTTGCTGGCCATTGGACTACACATGGTGGTGGCTTCTGTCTCTGCCCTCAGGGCACCTTGTTGCTTCAGTGAGGTTATATAAGTGGTGATCACTAATTTGGGTGGGGGGGGGGCAGATTTATTATGGTCTCTTAGCCCGTGGTGTGAAAGGGCTGGTGCATCTGGGAATATTTCTGCCTGAAATTGGTGCTCTTTTTTTGTCCTGGGTATTTAAAAAACCAGCCAAACAAAACTCAAGGTGCCAAAAGGCACTTTCCCAGCCTTCCTGGAAAGACTTTTAGGAAACTCTTTATTTTTCTCCGTGTATTAACAGCATAGTCTTCTTTGTGCTTGCCAGTGGCTCACCCTTCTCACCCCTCTGCCCTTAGACACTTTTGCGTGTCCAGAGCACTTCTCAGCGAGGCCTAGGTGCCCCTTGGGAATGGACAGCAAGAAGAAATGGAGCTTAGTGCCCATGTTTGTTCTGTTGTTCTTCCCCTTTAGAACTGAGTCTGAGCTTGGCAGTAATCTTGCCAAATCTTTGAGGGAAAACAGTGAAAATGAAGGAGCAACAGACAAGTCTTAAGAGATCGGGGTGGGAGAAACTTGAGTGTGAGCAGTAGTGAATGGCAGCCCCTTCCAGGAGAGCATTGACCTCTACTGTAGCCCTGCTCTAGGCGAGGTGTGTCCTTGGGGAAGTGCCGGTGTTTCCTGATCGCTAAATCTGAAGAAGGTACAAGTGTAGAATTACACCTGCAAGTCATGTTAGAGCGCATTTAGTCCAGTCTCCATATTTTACACTGAGGCCCCAGGCAATAGAGTAAGTGGTTCATTCCAGGGCCATAGAGCAGTGGGCAATGTCAAGGCATGGAGCTGCTGCCGCCAAATCTGGGGAACTTTAGAAAGATTACACTTGGCTATTCCACATCCAGTAGGGCAGTCCACTCTATCAGCAGATCAGAAAGTGCTGGACATGAGACAGGCAAATTCCACGAAGAGAAAACCAGAGTGAGGTAGTGTTAGCAAAGATAAGAGTTGAAGAAGAACCATTCTGGGAACTTTGGAATTTTCAAGTACATTTTTCCTGTTGTTTATCTCCTACATGTTCCCCTTTCTCCTCTCTTCAATCCCAGAAAGCCACTATTTAACCAAACATTTGTTTTTGTAATGTAATAAATGTAGGCTGAGTGCCTGCATGTACTGGTGCCCTTTGGTTTTTATCTAGCCTGCCCACTAGAAATGCTGTCCTCATGACAAAGTTGGACAGACCTGTGGAGCAACCAAGTTGCACAGGGTCTGGAGTATTTCCTGCCTCTTTTTAAAACTCCATCCGGTATGGGCTCCACATGGCCTGGGCCTTCAACTAGCCCCACAAAACAGGGCAATCTGGAAGGCTAAGCTGGGGAAAACAGGCAGCAGGAGCGATTTGCTTTTGTGCTTCATTTAGTCCTCTGCTGGCCATGACCTTCCAGCACCTGCTTCCAGAAACTACTCTAGAAACTTGTGCTCCCTGTTTGGAAGGACCCTGCCACTTCCTGGGACCTCAAGGGCCAGACTAATGTGCGATCCTGGACTCAACTGCCACGATGGCCCCAGGGAAAGTCTGGGCTAGTTGGATGTCTTCGCTTAGACGTGTCCAGCTTTGGGATTAGCTCCTTTTGTTTCTCTGAGCCTTCATCTTTTCCTCTCTGTTGAGATGTTACAACCTGCTTTACTCAGCTCATCAATGTGAGCAGTTATCATTTGAATACAAAATTCTTGGCCTGGCTTGGTGGGGGGGGCGGAGAGAGAGAGAGTGTGTGTGTGTGTGTGTGTGTGTGTGTGTGTGTGTGTGTGTGTGTGTCCCCATCCGTCCGTCTGTCTTTGTCTCCATGTCCCCTTCTAAAGGAAATAAGGACTTGGCTAGGATCTGAGCTCCATAGAGTTGGACTACTTTGGTCATTGGCAAAAACTGATTGCCATCTTGGAGCTTCTAAGCTTAACCACAGAAAATTAGCTTTTTCTTATAACCAACCCTTTCTGTCCTTGTAGCATCTGACTACATTGCTGGCCTCCTCTGATATGCAAGTGGTCCTCGCGGTGCTGAATCTCCTATATGTGTTCAGCAAGAGATCCAACTATATTACCCGCCTGGGTTCTGACAAGAGGACTCCACTGCTGTCCCGACTGCAGCACTTGGCAGAGGTCAGTCTTAGTAGATGATGGTGGGCAAGATGGTGGGAGAGGAGGGGAGGTCCTAGCACCTGCTGGCTCCAGAAACTTCCAAATGGCTGTCTGCTGATCAAGTGTGTGGGTGCCCTGAGTGCCTGCCCCAGACATTCTGTTCATGTATTGCTCCATTGAGGACCAATGTGAGGACAAGGTAGATTTGTGGTGTTTCTGAACCCTAAAACAGGCACAGGAAGTGAATGTTCTAGGTTTTCACCAGATCACTGGTTCTAGATTACCAGCATTCTTGCCCTTCTTACTACTTGAGATACTGTGAGGAATTGGTAGTTGGATTGGCAGAAATATTTTGGGTGAGTAATGACAAAGAACAGACAGTCTCTAAATTGCTTGACTCGGTCTGTGCAGCTTGGACCTAGGATTGTAGCCCTTTTTGTTCCAGGGAAGAACTTGGTCTAGGCACCTCTCCGATGGGTCAGCAAGAACTTACTGTCTATTCTCTTCATTTGCTTTTTGTTCTCCCTCTCTTGTGTCAATAATTTTACCTTAGATGGATTCTTCCCTTTGGGGGATGTGTCCTTAGCATTTTCAAATGACCCTAAATTGGTTTTGGAAACCAATGGAAATGGAGCATAGAGATTTATTTAGAGTGTTCTCTGGGCCACTGAGCACCGTGTGCTACATTTGTTGAAGTCCATCAGATACTGGAGAGAAAGATTGGGAGTTCCCAGTGGATTGCTGGAGAACGTTGTCACACTGTTGGTAAGATTGGCCAGGATCTCTTGATGGTTTAAAGCTTGCTCAAATGTCTTAATCTGTGTTAGTCTTGAATATTGGCCAACAAAAGGAAGCTTCTGCTGAAGTTCTGTGCCCCCGTGGACGGTGGAGTGGTGAGGAACTGAGACCTCTCACAGCTGAAGAGGGGTGGGCAGGAGATTGTGGTGGAGAGACCCAATGGAAAGGGCAGTGAGTAGAAGCCAGGATCTATGTGGAGTCTGGCTCAGACTTACCTGAGACTGGCACCTACAGAGCTGGCTTCCAGAAGGCAGAGAGATATCAGCTGCAGGGGAAGAAGGCTTTACAAGTCTTGTTATAAGTTTGTTCCTAATATAGAAAAAATGAACACAAAAAGTAAAGGAAATATAACTCAAAAAGACCTAATTAAGAAATATTAGAGCAAAGTTAAAATACAGTAGAATTGGAAGAATGTATAAAATGTTTATGATCAAAAACAACTGACCTAGAAAACAGAACATATAAAAAAAATTAATACAAGAGCTTGCACTCTAAGAATCAATGCTGGAGGCTCTGGGCGAAGACAGGTACACTAACTCACTAACCTGGTCCAAAGCCTCTTGGAACATAACTAGGAAAAGGGAGAAGCTCACTAAATGATTCATTCCCTTTGACTCAGCGATCCCACTGTTGTAGATACAACCCAAGAAGAACCAAGGGAGAAAGTAAGCCTAGGCATCCATGCCAGACGGCTCAGAGACACAGAGGAGGTGCTAAAAATCAGAAAATTGCTCAATAAATTGGGGTTTAATGGAACATTACTGCATGAATGAGAGATACAGGAATGATGATTGTGAGGAATCCTGAGAAACAGGGAAAGGCCGGGTGTGAACTACAGTAACGTGAAGTATGCAGAGCCAGGCAGAAAAAGAAACAGAGGAAACCTTGAACAAGATCCCAAAGCAGAGGCAAAGACACACACATCCTGACTTTTGGGAGAGGCTGGGAAAGCAGAGGAACCAGAGTTCTACCCACTATCTGTCAGGCGAGGCTGCTGTGCCAGCTGCCTGAACCCAACTCTTTCCTCCTTTTTCTTTATTAGGGGTAGTAGATAATGGAAATGCTGTTTCAGTCGCTCCCAACTCTTTGTGACGCCACTGGTGGTTTTTTTTTTGGCAAAGATACTGGAGCAATTTGCTATTTCCTTCTCCAGCTCATTTTACAGATGAGGAAACTGAGGCGACTAGCTTAAGGTAGTGTAAAATGCAGACGGCAGCAATGATGCTGAAAACTCCACATATCTTAAGAGGACACAAGAAAGCTCACAATCACTAACTTGGTCACTCCCTCCTTTCCCCTTTTCAGTGAATTTGTTCTACCCAGAAATGTAAAAACGTAAACTGTGTAAACATTACACAGAAGTGAAGCTCCAATAAGGGAGTGACTGGCTGCCCCCCATAGCCTCTGTGCCTTGTTCCTGGAATGCAAATGGAGCTTCCTAAGAGCTCAATGAATTCACCAAGTTTTCCACCCAAGCTTGAGGCCAAGGTTTGCTCTGTGAGTGGGCAGAACCAGCGGGGGAACTGGGCAATACTGCAGAACAGGCTCCATGCAGCCCCCTTCTCGAAGACATCCCCAGCTTTTTGAAGGCCACCGTCTTTTTCTGTAGGATTTGTCCAGTTTCTTTTCTTTTTTTTTCTTGCGAGGCAGTCGGAGTTAAGTGACTTGCCCAAGGTCACACAACTAGTGAGTGTCATATGTCTAGGGCAGGATTTGAACTCAGGTCCTCCTGACTCCAGAGTTGGTGCTCTATCCACTGCAGCACCTAGCTACCCGGAGTGTAAGCTCTTTGAGGGCAAAGACTCTCACTTTTTTTTTTTATGTACACAGTGCTTAGCCCAGCACTTGGCCCCTAGTAGCTGCTTAAAAAATGCTTTGTGATTGATTACCTATTGAATCCCTCAAGATCTTGGCCTTCCTTCCTCAATGAATCGCCATCACTTGTTCCTCTGCCCTTGCCCTCAGCTCCACACACAGATAGGCAGACCCTTGGTCTTGCCTGTCACCTACAAGTCTGGCACTGCTGTGGTAATCAACTCTGAAATTTCTTTATGTGATCATAATCATTCCATTGATCATTCCCTCTTTCTCTCCTCTTTAGAACTCCTCATCTCTTTCTCTTCACTGTAATCTTCAATTCTTCAACCTATCACTTCTTTCCAAAGCTGTCTCTCCCTCTCCCCCCCATATTGGTTCCACTCTACTCCCCTTATCTAAACTCATTGGTGAATTGCCATCTTTTACACGAGTCCCTTGCCCCCTTGTCCTGTCTACCCTTGATCCTTGCCAAATCCCAACCTTAGACTTCTACCATCAGCTTCCTTGGCTACTATTAATTTGCTGCTGAATGAAGCCAGAGAAGATCACAAATTCATCCTGCCTGAGTAGTGCAGTACAGATTACTAATCTATAATCTTAAGTGGGCCCCTGCTGCAGTTAGGCAATCATTGGGCACCTGCCTGATTTGATTCACTCTCCCACTCAGCTACAGCCACTGTTCGTATCTCTTTTACTCTTCAAACGACCCACAGCATTCTCTGTGGGTTGTTCTCCCTCCTCATTCTTTGCCCAAACAGATTGAGGTCATTTGCAGAGAGCTTCCTCTTCACTCTTCCCTTTTATCTCACTTCTTTCAGACATTGTACCTGCTAGCTTTGCCTTCATCCTTGTCTTGAATCAGGCACAGCATTCTTTGTCGTCCTCACTCTCCCAGAGTCTAGGAACATCTCACTTGGTCTGTTTCCACTAGTTACTGGCCTCAATCTCTCCTCCCTTTCGTGGTAAAACCTGTTGAGAAAGTTGTCTCCACTCAGGGCCTTCACTTCCTCCTCTTTCACTCTTAACCTGACCTCATCATTCAGCCGCAGTGGAAGAAGACACTGTGGCATAGTGGACCCAGCCTCTTTCAGGAGTTGGGTATTTCCTTTCTGAATGTTGTCCCAACCCCGTCCTCTGGGTCCAAGGCAGGTGACAAGGGGCTGCGAACAGGCATGACATGCCAGTATGTACATGGAAGTGGATGCCAACGGAGCTCTCCCTGTGTCACCTTCTAAATAATGTCCTTGGGGGAGCCCCATCTGCAGACCTCTTGAAGCCGTGGAAATAAACACATTGGAGTCAGTGACATTTGGTATGTGGTGGTGTTGAGCCGTTTTCAGTCGTGTCTGACCCTTTGTGACCCCATTTGGGGTTCTCTTGGCAAAGATAATGGAGTTGACTTGAGTTCAAATGTGGCCTCTGATACTATCTGTGTGACCCTGGACACACAGTTTCCTTATCTATAAAATGAGCATAATAATAGGGCCTCCCCAGGGTTATCCTAAGGATCGAAGGAGTTAATTATAGTAATTAATTAGTTCAATAACTATCATACAATAAGCACTGTATAGATGTTTGATGAAGAAGAATCATCCATGTAAAGTCCTAGCCTTGTTTTTCAGTTCAGACAACATGTAGAGCATTATGTTATAGGCATGCCCTTTTGGGGAAGGGCATGAATGGATTTGATGAAGGTTCTGGAGGTGGGGCCTTGGACTAGTCACTGGTGGGGGCATTGTCTTGAAGCTGCTGGTGACTGATAACTCTGCTTGGCTCCAGGGTGTTTGTAGAGGTGACCTTAGTCTTTATGGAAGGACAAAGCCTTGATTTGCTCCTCAATAGAAGGCCAAGAGGCTTCAGAAAACATAGCATTGCTTCTGTTTCAGTTTACCTGCACAACCTTTTATTCTGTTTGACTGTGTCCTTAAAGTGAAGTGGTCTCCTCCCTTCTGCCACCCTAACTCAGGCCGTTGGGTGTATTTTTCCGCCATCCCTTGGGGGAGCACACCCAATGTTGCTATTGATTGTATAGCGCTGCCTGTGTATGGTGAGTTGTAACACTGCTTTATTATTTCCTGCAGAGCTGGGGTGGCAAGGAAAATGGCTTTGGCCTTGCGGAATGTTGTCGAGACCTACACATGTTGGTAAGTTGGTCTGTCCATTTGGGACGTCCCTTGTTCTGACTTGGCTGTGAGGGAGTTTTAGCCACTGGGAAGTACCTATGGGGGAAACTTTGACTCCTGGACTGAGCGACCATAGGTAAAAAGGAGTTCTGGAGGAATCAAGAAAACACTTTGGCCTACTTCAAGCCTTATTGGTGCTTGTCTGTGGGGATGGACATGCTGTGTTCTGGCTGTGCACTACTCCTCCTAGAGTGATGTCTGTTTGATAGTCAAGCCTGGAAGAGAGACCAGGAACCAAAGGCCCACTTGCTAGTGTGCCAGTGCCCTCATCTTGACCCTCGGACTGGTGTGGCATAATTCGGCAGTGGCAGCACCTTAGAGGTTTATTGTCTTTTAACTTTGCGGTGCCTACCATCAAGCCTCTTCCAATGTAGACAGTACCTGTCATTTTGTGTGAATTTGAATTCCAAGACTTGTGTGCTTCCCAGAAAACATACATTCTTGTCACCTCTTTGGGCACAGCTCTGCTTTTGGTTGGCCTGGCTTAGGTCTGGCCCAAGCTGTGAGCTCAGTCATTCCCCCCATATGTTGGCAGTTGAGGGGAGGGGTAATGCATCTCCTGTTCACCTCTGTTCTGCTGTTCTTCATTCCCTTGTGTACCAGGAGGCTGGAAAACCATTCCCTCTGCGCAGCTGGAGCATGATGCGCACTGGTGTGTTGGGCTCTGCCTTCTTTCCCAGATATATTCAGTGGTCTTCAGATGGATCCAAAAAAGGGTGTTGTTTTTCTGTTTGCTGGTCACTTTTTTTTCCCTGGCATCTTCACAGTTGGGCTGATTCGAGCTTAGTGATTCTCTTGGTCGGGTTCTAGCCTCATCTTAGGTGCTTTGTACCCAAGACTGTTGCTCTTCAAATCCAGTTTCCACTTTTCCGTGCTGATCTCAAGCTGTGTTCTTGTGATTCTCTTGAGGTTATTGATGTGACTTGAAATACTTCCTCTGTAAGGCATTTCCCCCCCTTTTTGATTTAAGATACACACATACGCACACATGCACACACTCACTGAGATTCAGTTGTTGGGAGTCATTTCCTTGGCCTTTTTCTTTTGGCTTTGGGAAGGCCATTCCTGTCCCACCTGCAGTGGTTGCCTTCATTTCCTGCCTGTTGACATGAGGAGTCTCAGCCTGTGGCATTAAAGCCCAGTTTGAGGGAGGGGATTTGCTGAAGGAAAGAGTCTTCACAGTGCCATGGTTATGGAAAGCTCAAAGCCTTGGCACATTGTGCCTGGAGCTGGGAGCTTTGCCTTGGACCTGCCCTAACAGCCAACTCCCGTGCTAGTCCTCATTTTCCTGCTGCCCGTCAGACTGACTCTTGGGCAGAGGGAGGCCTGACTGGGACTGTGCCCTCTGGGGAGAAAAGGCAGGCAAGAGTTCTTCCCTCGAAGCCCAGAAGCCAGAGTAATCAGGGACCTCACTGCTTGGTGCTGCCACTGTGCCCTCTCCAGCTGTCAGGACTAATGTGCCAGGTTTGGGGTGGATCACCTGCTTTATTCCTTACACAGTTCCAGCTCTGTACCTGATTCTATGCTGTGCTTTTTATACACAGAAATACCCACCCAGTGCAACTACACTACACTTTGAGTTCTATGCAGACCCAGGGGCCGAGGTCAAAGTTGAGAAGAGGGTGAGTCTCACGCTTGTTGTGGTAGGATCTGCAGCGTGCTGTGATGGGAATAACTGGCTAGAACACTTCTGTTAACTACGGAAGGGATCCCAAGTTGAGCTCTCAGCTTCCAAGCTTGACCCCTGGTGAACACCATCACACAAGGCCTACCTTGGGGAGGCTTTTGTTGAGGTGGTTTAGTTAGAATTTGAAATGGCTGGGCTGCTTCCCTCACCTGTACCCAGGCCTTTCTCCAGAGGAAGCCAGCACAGAGTAGCTGACAAGAGCCATTATGCTGCTGGCGACCTGCGTCACTGCCTATTGGGTTAGTCAAAATTGGAAGTAGATGTTGAAATTGCTGTGGTTTGTTTGCTCCTGTAAAATCAAATTAAGTCTCCATCATTCACATTTCTTTACTGCCTTCTAAGAGCTACCTTTTTGAATGTTTGATGAAGCACCAGTTGGCCTGGCCCAGAGTTTATAAGCCTCAGTTCCCCAACAGATAGGGTGTTGAGTATATTTCAGGTATGGTCAGTGTTGAATTAGAAGCAGGGTGTTTAGGGGTTAGTAACATAGTAGTATTAGCCTGGCTCTGTAAATGCAGAGCTAGCCAGTGGCATAGATTGTGGGCCAGAGGAGCCCTCTTTCCCATAATAGGCCTATTCTTGTCTATGCTCAGTCTTGACTCAGTGTGGTCATGCCTTGTTGACTTTAAGTCAGAACCAATTCCTTTAGTTCCCTAACTTTAGAATACCAAGGCCCCATTGTAGAGAGAGATAGCAAAGGAGGACAAGAAGACAATATGTTCTTACCTGTCCCTCTTTTTCCCCCTTTACCTTTTAGACACCCAGTAATACACTACATTACATCCATATAGAGCAGCTGGACAAGGTAAGAGAAGTCCCCGCCATGGCCATGGTCCAATTGTTGTGACTCATTGACTGCCTGGATCTTAACCATTGTCTATCTCAACCCGCACCCCCACCCCCCTTCTCTAATATAGATTTCAGAAAGTCCTTCTGAAATCATGGAATCCCTCACGAAAATGTACAGCATCCCAAAGGATAAGCAGGTACGGTATTGCCCCCGGAATGGGTCCCTGAGTGGGGGAAGGGATTGTTAGCAAAGGTCACACTCACATACACGCGGCAGCTCATGGACATAGCTTGTGGTGTGGTGTTTTTTATGGGGTTCCACATTTTCACCAGAATGGTCAGTTGGTGGGTGTCATCTTCTTCCTCCCAGCTCTCTGAGGGATAAGTTCCTTAGATTCTGTTAGTGCTCCCTACCCCGAGGTGGCGTTGGACCCACTCTCTTGTATCCCTTATGACCTCTTTGGAAAGGTAAGGAGTAATTCATCAGAGGACTCTGCAGCTTGTGTGAAGAAGAAGGTAAGAATGCACTTCTTTCCTCCTCACAGATGCTGCTGTTTACACACATCCGCCTAGCCCATGGCTTTTCCAATCATAAGAAGAGGTTACAAGCTGTTCAAGCCAGACTCCATGCGATATCTATATTAGGTAAGATGGAGTAAGGGAAACAGTAACTGCTCTTGCACCCCTTTCCTCCACTCTCTTTGTCTCTGGTTTGTGGTGTACTTTGGTAGGTTGAGGTCACTGTTGGACTGCTTGCTGCAACCCTCGGAGGAGGGCTGTGGTGGCAGCCGTGACTGGGACACATGGGGGCCTGAATAGGGAAGAGAAGATGCTTGACCTTGGGACCAGATTGCTCATTGCTTTTTGCTCTTGGTTAACCTGGTGGAATGACTGATGGTATTTGTGTGGCAGCATGCAGCTATCCACCCAGGGCTTAGTTATCGAGTGTTTGTAAATTGTTTATGCAGTCGGAACCACTAGTGTGTCTTGGACTGGTGGAGTCCCGTTGCAGGGCTTCAGCTAACTGGCCAAGGTCAGTATCATCTGAGATATTTTTGTTGGAATCATGGAATTGTTTATCAGTCATTACTGAGGATGATGAAAGTGCATGGTGTGCTGGTCCAGGCCAAGGCCAGCTCCCCTCCATCTATTAGCTCTAGGGATCTTCTCAGGCAGTCCTTCTCAGCTTTGCCTCCTACTTTCCCTGGTTTACTTGAAGTTTCCCCTAAAGTCCCATTGTTTGCCTTCTCTCTTTAAATTCTCATTATCCTATGCATAATTTGTTTGCATATATTGCTGTCTCCCATTTATATTGTGAGCTTCTCAAGGGCTCCTTGCCTCTTTTCATATCCTCAATGCTTAGCACATTTAATAAATTTCAGTTGATAATAAAAGGAGGGGATGGGAACAAGCATTTATTAATAACCTATTATATGCCAGGCTAAGATGATCTCCTTGGATCCTCACAACAACCCTGGGACATAGATGCAGTTATTTTCCCCATTTCACAGTTGAGAAGCCTGGCTTTCCCAAGGTCCCACAGCTAGGAAGTGTCTGAGGCTGGAGTTGAACTCAGGTCTTCCTGACTCTAGGCCCAGCCATCCATCTACTGGGCCACCTAGCTGTTCCTTACAGTAAGACCTGACTTGCATGTTTAAGTCTTTTCACTTGAGTAGTGAAAGTGAATGGTGAGTGGAGGAGGGGTAGCAGTGAGGAAGGAGGAATTAGCAGTGCCTTTTTTCTGAATTAAACTGTCCTTCAGTGTTTGCCTTAGTTACTGTGACAAGTGTTGTTAATGCTGGGAAAATGAATGCTCTGTCAGTGCACGTGCCAGAACTAGACACAAGAGGGAGGAATCCAGGGATATCTTAACTGTAACCTTTGAAGTGATAGATATATATACTGCTCTTTTTTCATTAATGATTCCTGGAAGGGTCGAGGATAGCTAAGAATCTCATGGGAGAGAATGAAACAAGGTAGAGTTGGCCCAATCCTCACCTAAGACAGGAGCTACCAAAAGTAGTTGGCGCCGAACAGAAACAGTAGAAAAACTGGCTATTTGCTTTAGATCAGTTGAGCAAAACAGAGCTGCAAATTAATATGGCATGGCTGTTAGAGAAACCAAGGCGCACAAGCCACTTGGGTGAAAGGATTCCCTACTTAATGAAAACGCTAGGAACACTAGAAGATGGCAGATTTCCTTAGCTTGACATCTTCAGCTGTCAGCCACCACAAATTTGGAACGACCGAAGCATCTTAATTCAGAAAAACTTCAAGAAAAAGCCAAAATGAGGGTTTAAAACGTTAAAAATGTATAATTAAGTCAGTAATTTTGGTATTGAAAATCTACATGGAAACTGAGCCGTTCTGTAATACCTAAGTGGCCAAGGGATTTAATCCAAGTATTTGAAAAGGGTTCTTCTGGTGGTTCTCTCCCCTCCATTTCCAAATGTCTCTGCCAGCTTGCCATTGTGGCTGTCCAGAAGAGGTGCGTGGTCAGAGGAGGAGGCGTGCATGCGCGCGCGCGCACACACACACACACACACACACACACACACATACCACACACACACACACACACACACACACACACACACACCCCCTACCCACCACCAAAAGAATGGAGGGCCGTGTTTGTTTGGTCTTATTTGCTGGTGTTAAGCTTCTTGCTTTTTCATTGGTTTCCCTTTCACCTTGTGGTCCTGCTGGCCAGTGTTTGCCTAGTTCTGCTTCAGTCTGCATCAGTTGATGGAAATCTTCTCACACCCTACAGCCCAGTCGTCAAGTCCATTTGTGTGTGCCACTATTTCTGGCCTTTCTCCCTTGTTCCCGCGTCCTTATTGCTGTGGGCAATGTGTAGCTTACCACACTTTCCCCATGAAACTGCGGAAGCTTGGAAGTGGCGGTGTGGCTTTGTTCCTGGGATCGCTCATCATGCTCACAGGTTACCATTGGGACCCTTTCCTGGCCAACATTAAAGTATAGCAAACGGTATAAAAACTGAGCCATTCGCCTGTTGTGGGCAGAGCTGCTTTTCTGGCCTTGGCCAAAGAGCCTGGCATTTGAATGCCAGCCTCAGATACTGTGTGAGCTGAGGTAGACCTCGGTCTCTCTGGGCCTTGGTTTTGTCATTTGTGAAATAAGGATAGTTGTGTGATTATCCAGACGTCAAATGCTTTCATATCATGTGATTCCACTTTGGGCAGTTTAACCTTTCAGTCTTTCGTGACTCTGTGTTTTTCCTTTTGCAGTATATTCCAATGCCTTACAGGAGTCTGCAAACAGTATCCTGTATAATGGGTTGATAGAGGAGTTGGTAGATGTCCTTCAGATAACAGATAAACAGCTCATGGTAGGCTTTCTTCATCTTTACTTTTGTTTGTTCATCTGTATTATTGGCATTCAATTGCTCCTCCTATTCTGGCGCCCAAAAGAAACATAAAACGTACCAAGATTGAGAAGATGACAGTCACAGATCCTTGATTTGGAGCTGGCAAAGACTTTAGCAAGATTTGGGTCTTAACTGTTCCTTTTTCAAGGGTGCCGAGTCACTTACCAAGATGATACGAGAAAGTGACAGTGGCCACATTCCTGCTTCTCAGTGTAGCAGGCCCTTGGCTTTTCTGGACGGCTCCATGATCTCCGTTGGTGGAAGGCAGACCCATCTGGAGGAGATCTGGGATGAGTTTTCCTGGGAAAGCCACCAAGGAAGCTTAGTTAGTCACTTGTCCCTTTGCTTTTTCCCCATGTTGAACAAAAGCATTTGGTTTTTACAAGATTTGTATCCTGTCATTCTCATTTTTCCTATTCTTGTGAAGTTCTTTTACTTAACTGAAAAATCCCCAAAGGCCCTGCCATGTAATAATTTACTTGTGGCTGAAGGTTGAGAAAGGTGGTACTTACGTGTTTCTTTGCTTTTCTAGGACATTAAGGCAGCCTCTTTGAGGACTTTGACATCAATTGTGCACTTAGAAAGGACCCCCAAACTTAGCAGTATTATTGACTGCACTGGGACTGCCTCCTACCATGGATTCTTACCTGTCCTTGTACGAAACTGCATTCAAGCCATGATTGGTAAGACTGGGCTATCCCCAAACTGAAAGATCTTTTCTTGGAGCTCCTTTGTGTGCCAGATAGTGATGTGCGTGTGCCAGGATGCCCTACCCCTCTCCCAATTCTGGATTTTTCCTCCCTTTTTTTTTTTCTCCTCCAGATCCTTCCATGGACCCATACCCTCACCAGTTTGCCACTGCTCTCTTCTCCTTCTTGTACCACTTGGCCAGCTATGATGCTGGAGGAGAAGCCTTGGTGTCTTGTGGAATGATGGAGGCCTTACTTAAGGTATGTTATCTGTTCATGTGGGTGGGAAAAGCAAGGCTGCAGGGAGACCTGAGATGATGAGCATTAGAGTCAACTGGGACCCCAATCCAGTAATACAAGGAAATCCTCAGGAGTCCTGGCCGCATCCTCCAGTCACTATGCCTATGCTTGTCTTGGTTTGTGCTTGTGTTAGTCTGCCCACATGCAGCTTTCTGTGGCATTGGCTTAGGTCTTAAACTCACTGTGTGTGCTCTAGAGAGCATGGACTTAGAGCTGTGGACCCTGCTAAGCCAAGCTAGCTATGTAACATTTTTGGGTGGGCCTCCATGTTCTCAGAGTGAGGGGTTACATGAGAGGACTCAAGGACTTTTGCATTCTCAGATGACCTGACCCTCCCATGCTATTCAGCTATGTATCAGTTTCCAAGGGAAAACTCTTTGACCTCTGCATAGGTGATCAAGTTCCTTGGAGATGAACAGGACCAGATAACCTTTGTTACCCGAGCAGTCCGAGTCGTCGACCTTATCACCAACCTTGACATGGCAGCTTTTCAGTCGCACAGTGGGCTATCAATCTTCATTTACAGATTGGAGGTATTTAGATGTGCATTCCTTGCCCTAGTTGTGCATAGGCCTCTGTCTCATGGCCAGCTGTAGACTCTTCCTTGCTGAAAATGAGTCCTCTCTTCCGTTTGATTTCTCCCCAAAGTTGCCCATAAGAGCTCTTCTAATCAAGCACTCCTTGGAATTTGCTTCTCCCTTTAATACAGCATGAAGTTGACTTGTGCCGAAAAGAGTGTCCTTTTGTGATAAAGCCAAAGATCCAAAGGCCCAGCACTGCCCATGAAGGAGAAGAGATGGAAACTGACACGGACGGTATAGTTACTGCTTAGCACACGAGTGTCATGGAGTTTGGGGCTGTGAGCTTTGTTGGCTGTGAGCTTCGTTCTGTGCTTTCGCACACTAGGGGCTTGCCTGTTCGGCACCTCTGATACGAGAGGTTGCAGTTGTAGCCCCTCTGTGTGATGTGCCATGCCTCCTTTATTTGTCCTTTGCTCCTGGGAGCCACAAAAAGTTAGTTGTTGTTTTCAGCTGTTCTGTTGAACATCTTAACAGTGTTTTAGCAAAGGTGCAGTGAATGCACAGCTCAGACGAAAAATTAACTGAACAGGAATTAAGAGAACGGCCGAAAAGATGCGGGCAGGCTAATTAGTATAAGGAGACGTGTCTTATCAGAGTGAATACTTGTCTTCTACAAACCCTACATTGTAAGCACTATGAAGGGGGGTGGGGAGCACAGTGGGGAGCCTCTTAGTACACACTGGGTAAGCCCAGTGTGAGTCAACATTGGAATGGCATTGGAAATCCCAAAGGAGAATGTGATCTTTTGGGCCACGTTATGGGGGAAGGAGGGAGAGCGAGTTGTGTTAGACTCTGTCCTCCTCTGGCCCCACGTGGAACGCTGTCACTTGGATAGAGTACCACTTTTTAGGAAGGACTTCATGAGCTGGGCCATGACCAAGATGGCAATAGACTGGATTGATGGAACTGGGACCACTCAGCACGGAGAACTACAGCCTTTCAGGTTGAAAGGAAACTCCTTGGACAAATCAATAGTTATTGCAACAAGAATCCCCCTGTACCCTGTAACGGGGTCAGGCATCTTCTAGCCTTTGCTTGAGTACTTCCAGAGTGTCCCCTCCCCTCTCCCCCTTTGAGGTGGCTCCAGTGTTAGATGTTAGAAAATCCTCCCTCCCTTGCTGTTTGGGCTAGACAGCTTTTATTCAGATATGTGTAGCATTGGATTCCATTTACAGAGTTGTGGTTGATAGATGTCCCATGCCCTCTTCACTATGCCTTTGGACACTCGTTCACTTTTTCTTGACTTTGGATTGTGTTCAGTTATGCTATATTCTATGCTACCTATAATCTGTAATCACTATACTCTAACCCTGCAATATGTGAGAGATGGTTTCATGTTGGATTTGAGTCGAATTCTTAGTGTTCTCAGCAGGCTCTCCAGAAACTTAAAACACGTGAGGCTTAAGGATACGTGGGATTTTGAATATAATTCAGTACAACTTCTGGGCCTCTGTTTGGGCTCTGGCTTTGGGGTTCTTGTTTCTGTCTTCTCTCAGCCCCAGGCAATAAGGCATGTCTTGATCATACTTTCTCTTATCTTTTATGAGTCTCTTCTTTTTTGCTGATCCAGGTCAGGTGCCAATTCTTCCATGGCCCCTCTCTTGTTTTGACTGCCCCCTCCGATTGGCATTAGAGCATCTTGCGTGGATCTCTTGTTCTCCCTCTTATTGCACTTGCAAATATGTTGGTACTCTCCTTTTCCTTCTTTGTACCCCCAATTCCATGCACTAAACCGCCCTGGATCATCGTCATGGTCACCACATAAGGAATGTGGACATTTGAGATGTTACTGTAATGAAAATCTTGCTCAAACTTCCCAGGCCTGCCCTTATCAAACACTTTTTGGGATGGTCTAAGAATTTACTATGAAACATTAGAAAGTCATTTACAAGGGGTATAGGAATTCCTTGTCTCTGATCTGGCTTTCATTTAGATCATCTGCTTTGGAAAACTTAGTTTTCTACATTGAGAGTTTTCTCTCACTTTATTTTCTCTTCCCCCTCTCCCTCCCCCTCCTGATTTCTTCCTCAGTTGCAGATGTAGCCATGGAAAGCAGTCCAGGCCCATCCACCGCTTCAGTAGATCCCCGACCCGATGTGGAAACAAGGCCCCGGGCTCCCAGCATCAGCGGCAGCATCATGCTCTCTCCCCGTACTGGTGTGTAGTCTGACATGGTATCACTGGGCACAGCTACTATTGGTTTGCAGAGGAATTGGTCATTAAGATTGGGGATCTCCAAGCTACGAGGCACTTGAGGGCTCTGGCTGTTGGATGCCCTGACCTCAGTTTCTAGTTGGATCAGCTGAGGCTGAGGTGAAGACTCTTGCCTGTTAGTGAAGATTTCTTCTCAGTGGCTGTGCTCAAGTTCTGCACATCCATCCGTCAGTTTTCTTTCCATCAGGGCACATCGAAATGCTTCCATATCTTCATAAGTTCATCCTCCTAATATGCTCCCTTCAGGGCCAGGACGCTGTTGATGAGCTTCCTTAATATGATTACATAGCAGCTCACTTTGTCCTCAGTATTTGCTGCATCTTGAAAAAGCAGAATGTTAAGAATTGCAAAATACCTCAGTGGTCTCATAAGTGATCCTCAGCCTTCCATTTCTCCGTGAGTGGGAACCTACCGCCTCAGGAGGTTGCCCATTCCACTCAAGGCCAGTTCTAATAGTTGAGAGGTTTTTCTTTACATTAAAGTTTCAATCTGCATTTTTCCTTCCCCCAAAGTGTTCCTGGTTCTACCTTCTATTGTCAAGCAAAAAGTCTTATTCCTTTTCTACACTGACTCCTAAGGATTGGCACCCCTTGCCCCTTTTCCAGACTAAACAATCTTGACTTCTTTCACTTGATCCTAATATGGTTTGGACTCAAGACCCTTAACCTTCTTCATGACCTTCCTCTGATTGCTGCCTGGTGTATCAATGGCAGTCTTAAACAGTTGTACCCAGAACTGTGAGCATCTATTCTAGGTGGACTCTTGCCAAGGCAGACTAAACGGCAGAGTCCTGGAAGCTATATAGCTCTTAACCTAGCCTCGTGGCATTAGCTTCTTGGCTTGCCATATCACGCTGTTGCCAAATCCACTCAGAACCAACACCACCATCCCCATCTTGTGCTTGGGAAGACTAATACAAGACTTGACATTTATCCCCCTTGACTTTTATCTTCTTAAAATAATTCAAATTCTTGAAGCTATCAAGATATTTGTGGAGTCACTGTTTTAGCTACCCAGCTTTGTGGCAGTTGCCCTACCCAGGTAGTGATTCCTACTATTAAAGAGTGAATTATCAAGGGGGAAGAAAAGCCATTTCAGTCGATCTTACCTGTGACAGAATATGCAGTTTTCCACATCCACCATTTCTCCCTTCCAGCTCTGCACTGGAGGTGAGGGTTAGGGTTAGGGTTAGGTGAGTCTTTCTTTGGAGCCAAGCTTAGTCATTATTGCCACACTCAGGTAAACTGTACTAACATAGCCTTCCTCCAAACCCTTTGAATTTTCTGCTCTTTGGAAATTTTGGGTACTTGTCTGACAAGTTCAAACACTCCAATAATGGTCAGTTCTCCCCAAGGTTCCCGTCACTTCCATTCTATTGGTAAGACTCATCCAGAACAGAATTTCCCCTTGGTTTCTTCCTCCAACTGTGTAAGGATGAAATTCTCATTGCAGCTACTTTTGACCTGGACAGTGTCATTTCACTTGGACTATGTGCACTAGTCGTTGGGTACCTTATGTGTAACCAGTCTCCTCTCGTTTGCCTTTGCCAGGAGTCCAGTGCATTCCTCAGCGTGCCGCACTTCTCAAGTCTATGCTGAACTTTCTTAAGAAAGCCATCCAAGACCCAGCCTTCTCTGATGGCATTCGTCATGGTAATGGCTCCACTCGGACTGGGTTGTCTTGGTGGGGACTAGTGCCTGGAAATCCAGAAGAGTGCCTCGTTTCCAGTGATTGATTAGTTTGCTGCTGTTCTGGGGAACAGAGACTTGATCAAACATCAGAACAGAGTGAGGGTCAGAGTCAGGGGTTACACTTGGAGAGATATTCAGCTCCTCGTCCAAGGGTCACTATGGGAGGGAGCATGGCTGTCTCGGCTGTTGGCTTGTTTCTTCTCAGCGAGCTTTGGGCTCCCAGTATAGTGAGGGAGTTGGCCTGGATTCCAGTGGCACTCTGATATATGTTTAAAGACAAGAGAAAACATAGGCAAGAGTATTGGGGCCAGGAGACGGGAAGATCTCAGTGATTTCATGGCCTCTGTATTGTTTCATCGCCAAACATGAAGCAACAATGGGCTGAGGGAACCAAGCCAAAGGTAGCCAAGTGCTCAGACTCAATGCACTGCCTTTCTTTCAGTGGGGGAGGGGGAGCAGCAGGGAAACAGAATGGTGTTCACAGAGAAGTTGGTACTGTGGAATTGGGCTGAGCCTTGACACTTTTTACTCTGTGACTTTAGAGGATGATCATAAATACCTACTATTTGTTTTGTCTTAGTGATGGATGGCTCTTTGCCTACCTCGCTGAAACACATCATCAGTAATGCCGAGTACTATGGGCCCTCGCTCTTTCTGCTAGGTAAGACAAGCTGGTACCTGATAAGACTGAATTTGGGTAGTCTTTCCTGGGAGAATTCACAGTTTTGGCCATTGTGCACTATCGGATTTAGTGTTGGAAAGGACCTTCAAAGAGTTCATCCCTCTTTTTTTTTTTTTAACATCTTGGTAATGAAGCATGGAAGATATTGCTTGACTTTTAAAAAGAGGCTTTTTTGTTGATGCTTTTGGTTTCTACATTGCCTAGATTTTTCCTGTAACCTTTCTATTCCAGACAGCCATCTCTTATAAAAAGGAATTTTTTTTAAAGAAGAGGAAAAAAATTCAGCAAAACTAACTAGTGAAAAAAAATCTAACATTTTCTATATATCATATTCCATACCTGTCCATCCCCTTGTTCCACATTTTAGTTAGGTGGAGTTATCTTGTTGTATCTCTTTTTTTTAGGGCCAAGCTTAACTTCTTTTCTTTGTAATTTTGCAGCATTCATATGTTTTAAATTTAATTAAAATTTTTTCAGTCAGCAAAAGTCTCCCTTCTCTTCCCTCTCTCCCCCAACTCCTCCCAGTTGACGATGAAAGAAAAACGGGATAGCTAGGTGGTATAGTGGATAGAGTACTGGCCCTGGAGTCAGGAGGACCTGAGTTCAAATCTGGCCTCAGGAACATAATACTTATTAGCTGTGTGACTCTCGGCAAGTCACTTAACCCCAATTGCCTCACCAAAAAGCAAAAAAAAAAAGAAAGAAAGAAAAACAAAACCCTTGTTTCAAACACAAATAAATAAGCAAAACAAATTGTAGCATTGGCCACATCCCAAAAAAATATTTGCCTCCTTCTTTATTCTGAGTCCTTCAGCTCTCTCATCACAAGTCTTTTGGAATTGTGGTTGGTCACTATAGTGATGAGAGTTCCCAAGTCTTTCACAGTTAAATATCCTTACACCATCACTGTTAGTGTCCAAGTTGTCCTTGTGATTCTGCTCACTTCCCACTGCATCAGTTCGTACAAGTCTCCCCAGGTTTCTCAGACACCATCCCCTTCATCATTTCTTCCAGCACAGTCATATGCCATAGTTGGTTCAGCCACTCCCCAGTTGTTGGGCACTTCTCAGATTGGGGTTCTAAGAGGTAGAAATATTTGTGTACCTCCCTAGAGTTAGTTTTGCTTAGGACTAATCCTTCCCTTAATCTTTTGTTGTTCGATTGCATCCAGCTCTTTACTGTGACTTTTTCTTGGATTTCCTAGTCATGTTTGGGTCTGGTGCATTTTCTGGATGTGTTTGAGGGAATTCGCTAGCCTGCTTCCTGCTTGCTCTGCCATCTTGGCTCTGCCTCCTCCAGCATCCTCAATCTCACTTGTTTTGTTGAAGTCATTGGCTCGATTGTTTTCCCTGCTCTGCTTACTTTCCCTTGGAATTAGCTTTCCTCATATTCATCTCCTCAGTTTCAAATTGTCTTTGGAATTCTTATGTCAATTTGAACTTCTTTACATGAGTAGTCTGTTTTTTATCTTTGTGTTCATCACCTACATTTCCCAAAAGGGCCTGTCCCCCTCTCAAGAAAGCCATTCCTTATAATAAGAAAAGCAAATCTGTGTGAAAAAGAAAACCAAATTAAACGGCCTCTGATGTTGTGTGTGTTGTTCCCCTGTGCACCTCTGCCAAAGGCCAGGCCTTTGGTTTGTGATGTTTGCGTCATCTTGTATGTCATATTCTGAGCTCCGTTTACTTCACTTGGCTCTGTGTTTATGACAATTCATTGTTTCTTTCAGAATTCTCTTGTTAAATGAAGAATTTTGTCATTTATTATAAGAATTTATTTGGTGGATCTGAGTGCTTTAATTTAGGTTGGTAATATGAGTATGAATCAGTCAGTCTCTGTGACAGGCAGTGTGCCAGGTGCTGGGAATACCAAGGAACAAAAGCCCTCAGTGAGGTTCCCTGGCCTCCAGTCTAGCCCCTTTGTTAGGAGATACCTACCTCTCCCCCTGTTTTCCCATCCTTTGATTTTAATTTTTTTTTTTTGCCAGCTCAATATAGAATAGCCTGGTTGCTGATAACTGGGGTGCAGTGTCAGCCTTTTGGCCATCTTGGTAGCTAGACTGTTCTCTGCTATTCACCCCTTCCCCAAGCTTTTGGGAGGCTTGTCTTGCCTGCCCCTAGCTTCTGGTCTTGCTTGTCATCTGAGCAGTTCTTATCAGATGCATTAACTATCTCCAGTCCTGCTGTGCTGGAGTCTAAGATTGATTCACTCAGCACCTCTGAGACATGAGAGATCCCTAGGAGCAGGGACTCAAGGGGCCTGGAGGGATTAGCAAAGGCATGGGGCACATCATGTGCTGAAGATGATACTAAAAGGTGCTTTACAAAATTCTTTCCTACACTCAAAGTGCCTCTCTTTAAAACAGTCAGTGGGAGGGGACAACTAGGTGGGGCAGTGGATAGAGTACCAGCTGTGGAGTCAGGAGGACCTGAGTTCAAATGTGACCTCAGACATTGGACACGTAAAAGCTCTGTGACCCTGGGCAAGGCACTTAACCCCAGTTGCCTCTTAAAAAGGAGGAGGAGGAGATGAAGAAGAAAAACAATTGGTTCATTTGCTGGTATGGTTAGAGTGGAAAAGGGTCATAGACTGAATTAATGGTGAAAGTCAGTTGTGTCAGGAGAGTTTTATAAACCCTTTGAGGCACAGCTAGGAAGGTGGCAAGCTTGGAAGAGTGGAATTGCACTGAATTGCCAGATTGCTTGTCTCAGTTTTCTCAACTGTAAAATGGGGCTATAACACAGAATCTAACTTAAGGTGGTTGGGAGGATCAAATGAGATGATTTGTAAAAAGCACTTAGCACAGTCCCTGGTACAAAGTAGGCTTCCCTTCCCTTCTTTAGTTTGGTCTCACTTCTTCCAAACCCTTCTCTCTTCAGCTACTGAAGTGGTCACGGTGTTTGTTTTCCAAGAGCCATCCCTCCTGTCCTCTCTGCAAGACAATGGGCTGACTGATGTCATGCTGCATGCTCTCCTTATCAAAGATGTAAGTGCCCTTCTCTCCCTTCTTAGCTTCTTCTGCAGCCGTTTCTCACACCTGAACCCACGGGCTTCTTTCCTTTCTCTGGGTGGCTTTGTTCTTGTTTTGATTCCCAAAGACTTGGCATGTTCCTCAGGGTCCCGTCGTTCCCCCCACCCTCAGCTTCCGTATCTTCTTTTTTTTTTCCTCCCGAGGTTCCCGCAACCCGAGAAGTCCTTGGCTCCCTGCCCAATGTGTTCAGTGCACTGTGCTTGAATGCTCGTGGCCTCCAGTCATTTGTGCAGTGTCAGCCTTTTGAACGTCTCTTCAAAGTACTGCTTTCTCCTGATTACCTGCCGGCCATGCGCAGGAGGAGGAGTTCAGATCCCCTTGGTGAGTTCCCATTGCCGGGATCTGAGTGGACCACAGCAGCGCCCCAAAGCTGATTCATTTCTCCACATTTGGCAGTTGGTCGATTGGTTTGATTCTTTCCCCCCCCCCATTTTTTTGACTGTTTCCTTTTATATTACATTCGTTTCCAAATAGATTCTGTTCCCTTTAGGTGTAATGAATGAGGATTTAAAGCAAAAAAACAAGGCTGTTTCTCATAGTTTAGCTTCTAAGGTGCTTTTCTATCTTTGAGCTACTTGGGCATTTCCCTGACTGCTGGGATCTTGGGCACAAAGGCTGTTGGCATGCATTTGCTCACTTTGGGTAATTGCAGTTTTCTTTGCCCACCAGTTGGGCCACGTGCCAGCTCCACTAATCATATCTGAGTCCAAGCCTCAACAGCCTCGGCTTTCCCAGTTTGCTGTGGAGTGATTTCTTTCCACAGAAGTTTTGGGCCAACCCTTTCAAGATTGTCCTAAGTTTATAATTCTTCTTTTCTCAGCTGTTTGTTCAGCTCTTTTGGCCACTTGCTTTTGGGGAATGATTTTTGTCTGAAAGATTGATTTGTGTTGATTCCCTGTGGATCTCGGAGAGTAGACTCTTTCTTGTCAGAACTCTTGGATGCCAATATTTTTTTCTCCATTTTGTCCTTTGTCCTCTCCTAGTCCATAGTTCTCGGGTTCATTGGGATTGTCTTCTAAGGGTATAGCCTCAGCATATGGCTGATTAGAGTCTAGAATAGAAGATGTTTGTCTAACCCTGATTTTTATCCAGCTGCTTTTGCATTTGTTGAGCAGTTGTCAGATGGCAAGGAGTCCTTCCCCTGAGAAAGTTGTACACTTGAGTGAATCAGATACTGAGTTGGGTTTTTAAATTGTTTGATTCTTGTTTCTCTGATTTGTTTGACTTTTTTAATTGGTACCAAAGAAATTTGCTAATTACTACTTTATCATGTGATTTGCTCTTTTCCCTTCATTACTTCATTTTAAAAATTATTTCCCATGATATTCTAGCCCTTTTGTTCCTCTAAATCAGGGGTTCTAAGCCTTTCTTTGTGGGTCATGGCACCCTTTGGCAGTCTGAGAAAGCCTCAGACTGTCTCTTTCTCAAAATAATGCTTTTTAAATAATTCAAGAAAATGCTATGAGGTCAGTGAAAATTAAGAAGTAATTGTTTTTTTCTCTCCAAGTATCAGATATCCTTTTAGGGTTCCTGAATCCCCTCAGAAAAACCCCTTCACTAAAAGAATCTTGATGTTACTTTATGTAGTTCTATGAATTACCCCCTTTGTAATTTGTAGACCAATTTACATAATACTGTCATTTTTCTCACTGACGTGGCCCAATCTGAGCACTGAGAATTTTAAAATACTCCAAAAAAAAGTTTTTTGAAGTATTTTTATAATTATTTTACATGCTGCTTGTATATATTTCCTCCATTTTTTTGCTATTTTGAATGGACTCTCCTTTTCTGTTATTTCCTATGACTTCCTCACCCTGTTGGCAGTAGATAGCTTGGTGAAGAATCTAACGATCTGTAAACATCTCATTTGAACAGGGTGACAACCATTAAATGAAGGTGAAATCTGATCTTCCTAGTAGTGTCTGGAGACACGTCCCTTCTCCTTTCCACTGGCAACTTGGTGGCAGTTGAAGAGGCTTGGCTGGTTCCTCCAGTACCAACTTCGGCCTTTGTGCTTCTCAGAAATAGTGGGCTTGGCATTCCTTAGCACTAAGGAAGATGGGAGGGAGTGGTGTCTCTTCAGCCAGCCTCAGTCAAAGGTGTGGTGCCGACATTGTTCCCACTTGCTGGCTTCCATTCTAGAATGAGCCAGCATCTGTTGAAGGGTTGGTCATTGTTCTTTCCTTAGCCAGTATTAATGACCTGCTGCATAGGTTCTGCCAACCTGCCTTCCAGAGTTTGGTGTAGCACTAAGCGTTGCCATCAGTCTCCAAAAGCAGCCCAGCTGCCGGCTCACATGTGGTCACATACAACCAGCTGATTGTCTGTGTCCCTCAGACTTTTGAAAACAGCCTTTTGTTTTCCATAGGCGATACTGCTTCCAACCTGGGCAGTGCTGTGGATGAGCTGATGAGGCACCAGCCTACCCTGAAGACAGATGCTACGACTGCCATTATCAAGGTAGGAGGCTACTCATGTGGCAGGGAAGAGAACATGCCTTTGAAAGTTGTTTCCGACCTTAGTGAGACTCCAAATGTCTGCGAGCAACCGAAGGGGGCTGAGGGCCTAGAGAAAAGCCCAAATCAAAACCCTCAGAATGATCCCAATGATAAGTTTCCCTTCTCCTGATGAGGAGCCTTCAAGAAAGGAGGAAGGGAGGTAGTTGCAGAGCACTTTACCCTCATGCTGACTTTTGGCTTGGGGCACTGTATATTATCCCCAGTCAGAGCTAGGTCAGGTAGAATATCCCCTTTTCAGTTCTTGCTTAGGACTTTTCCTTGCATGGTCTCTGAATCCTAAATCTCCCTTTTCTTGTCTGTCAGTCCTCTTTACCAAGTGGCTCTGCTACTCTAGAGTTCGTCACTGTGGATCACATTCCATTGTTAAAATTCTGGATTTCAACCAACCATGAAATGCCCATTCCCACATCCCTAGCAGATCGCACCAGAGAGCATTGACTAGGAAACTCGACATTGCCCCTTCCTGCTAATTGCTTTAGGCCTCTGTGCCTAACGCGTACCCCACGTTATGTTTCCAGTTGTCCTGGCAGTTGTCTGCACCACCTCCAGGGTCGGCACCTGTGCATTTTACCATTCGTGTCTTATTCCTGTCCCCTAGTTGTTAGAAGAGATCTGTAACCTCGGAAGGGACCCCAAATATATCTGCCAGAAACCCTCCATTCAGAAGGCAGATGGCACGAGCACAGCTCCTCCTCAGAGAGCCAACCATGCCGCGGAAGAGGCCTCCAGTGAGGATGAAGAAGAGGAGGAGGTGCAGGCCATGCAGAGCTTTAATCCCCCTGCCCAGAGCGACACCGACTCAAACCAGCAGTGAGTTTCTCCAATGCCTTCAGCTTTGTCCCCACTGAGGCCAGCTTTTCTCCCTACGTGACCTTCTTTCTTTGGAAAACTGTTTGAGGGTTCTTTCTCCCTTTTAGACGCTGATCCTTTATCTTCCAAGGTCAGATGCCATCTTTGGTAGAACGAGGTTGTGAAGCTGAGCAGGTCTTCATATCTCATTGTGGGGGGACCAGGAGGACTTTGTGGGAAGGGTTTAGCATCCATTCAGTCTTGGAGCACTCAGCCAGCCTAGTGTTGGGGGTGGCCACCTTTTCATCCTGAGTAGCTCCTCTGTCCCCTGGCCTCTGGGACCTTATCTCATTGGGGAGCAATGTAGTCCTGATGCCCTTTTGCCTGCATAGGTGGGTCCTTCTTAGAGAGCTACTGGAGGGACCCATGTGACCAGGCAGTTTGTGACTTGAGCCCTGGTCTCCCTTCATTGGAAGCTGCCTCCAGTAGGATCTTGTATTGCCAATTGGATGCGTAGAGTCTTTGCTCTCCAAGTTCAGGAGAAGGTGCCAGGGGAGACAAAGGGCCTCTGTACCGCCTGCCTGTAGTAGGCTGGAAATGTCCAGGAGAGAGCAGGGACACTGGCTGGGAGCTGAGGGGGGAACTCTACACCAGCGACTCCCAGAAGCATGTAGTTATTCTCAGTTACTTGCGTTAAGCATGGGCTATAAAGGCAGGCTCTCAAGGAGTTGACTTCCTCTATAGAAGCTTGGATGGCACTTTGCTCTCTCTGGGTCTTCTTGCCCTGGTCCACAACCTCTGCCTGTGTTGGAATGTCCTCTGGGGTGCATTCCTGGCCAAGCCTCATCTGTTGTCCACACAACTCACGGTCTCTCTGTGCCAACTTGGGCTGGACAAATGACTCACTGTGGGGGCTTTTTCCCCCCATCAGAAGTCACTCTAGTACGTTTTCTAGATTGGAGGGATGAGGAGCAGGACTGTGGCACAGAGGCTCATGGTCTTTCCAGCTACTTCAACAAAACTCCTGGGCAAAGATGTGTGCTCGCCGTGTAAAGCAGTCTAGAAGGGGGAGAGCGGAGGGCCCAGACCTGTGGTTAGAGAGTGTGATCTGGAGAAAGATCCAGTAAAGGAGACAGAGCAGGAGCAGAGAGGGAGGAGAAGAGCACGGGGAGTGAAGGGGTATCCCAGAAACCTAGAGAAGAGAGTGTGACTGACAGTGTCAGAGGCTGCAGAGAGGTCAAGGAGAATGAGGATGGAGAAGAGATCACTGGCAGCTTTGGAGAGAGTGGTTTCAGCTGGCTCATGAGGGTGCAAGCTGAATTGTACAGGCTTAAGAAGAGAGTAAGGGGAAAGGAATTGGAGGCGCCACATTGCAGGGGCTCCATGGAAGCTTTCTTAAGCTCTGCTGGGAAGGGAGCTCGGAGCTTTTCATAGCATGGATTAGGGAGTTGTGGGCATTCAGGGTCAGGGTCAGTAGAAAATGGTTAGATTATGGAGCTGACAGGCTAGGGCCTTGTTCAAGAACAGTCACTGCTATCTAGAAAGGGTGTGAAATTTGCCAAGGAGGACCGGAGTGAGTAGTGATTGCATAAAGGAACAGGCCAGAAATAGAGAAGAGCAAGGGACTGAAATGGAGCTCGGCCAGGGAAAAAACGGTATTTTCTGCATTGGATCCAGAAAATGAAATGAGAGGGAAAGTGAGCTTTCTCAGTTCAGGACCATATGTGGTGCTTTGGAGGGGACCATTCAGGCTAAAGGTTCGAGTGGATGGCCAGGATGGGGAGAGCTATGCAAGCAATGGCCTGGTTTGAGCTGTTTACTGAGTGCCACTTCCAGGCTTCAGGATGTCACTCTGTTGAACCGAATGACAAATACTGACTGTTCTTTCAAACATTCTGCCTTCTCAACATCCGTGACCTATATATTCATTCACTCACTCTCCTCCCCCTTGGCCATACCCACATATCCCCATGGTGGTTTGGTTGTTTTTTACATCTGTAAATAATAAGCTCTGTGAAGGAAGCAAGTGACTTCATTTCTTCTTTTTGTGCCATGGCTGGGACATTATAGATACTGAAACTGAATTGACTCTCAGCTGCCCTTCTGCCTCTCTTCAGCATTCTTTCTGTGTCCAACCCTGACCGCTAGCAAAAATTGGGGCACTTCACCTTTTGGGTGGATGTCATGATCCCCTTTATTCTCAGAAGGATTTCTTAATTCATAAAATAAAATGTAGAAATGCAAAGGAAACCAATTTTATTAAGATCTCTGAAGACCAGGGTTTTTGGTTTTTTGTTTTTGTTTGTTTATTTGTTTTTGAAGGAGGAATGCAATGAGACGACCTGTTTTCAGCAGTCTCTGTTCTGCTAGGGTGCCTCGTCCCCCATTCTTTTCCTGCTGGCCAAAGGTACCCTCTGGACCTAGGTCCTGGGGCCTGCCTCCTGCTGCCTCTTTGATTATCCCAGCCCTCCACCACAAAACAGAATGCTTTGTTGTAATCTCAACATGCAGAAACCCACAACAGGCTTGTTAGGCATTTAACTTCTTTTGTTGTTTTTTTTTGGGGGGGTTGTTTGTTCATTTTTTTGTTGTTTTGGTTTTTGTTGTTTTAGGCAGTGGGGTTAAGTGATTTGCCTAGGGTCACACAGCTAGTAAGTGTTACGTGTCTGAGGTCAGATTTGAACTCAGGTCCTCCTGAATCCAGAGCTGGTGCTCTATCCACTGAGCTGCCTAGCTGCCCCGGCATTTAACTTCTTATAGGTAGTTTCTGGTAACCAAGCCCCAGTAAAATTACCCTGCTTGCCATTTGGTGACTGCTACCTTCTGGGTATTTCGAAATCTGTTCACTGATGCCCTTTGTTCTCTTTTCAGATTTTTCTGTGTGGCCATCACTCCCTTCCTCTTTTTGCATATGTGGAGGGGGGTTGTGTGTGCATGCGTGCACAAGCAGGTGTTGTACTTGGTGAGGTGTAGGGTTTTTTGTTTGACTTGTGACTGTTTCCCCAGTCCTTCCCCCGCCACCACACACACACACACACACACACACACTTATTTCCTCTTTTTTTGTTTTGTTTTTTGGTGAGGTAATCATGGTTAAGTGACTTGCCCCAGGTCACACAGCTAGTATCCTGTGTCTGAGGTCAGATTTGAATTCAGTTCATTCTGACTCCAGGGCCAGTGCTCTATCCACTGCACCACCTAGCTGTCCCTACACTTTTTTCCTCTTGAACTTAATTCTTTATTCTGTACCCAATTCTCTGTGTGCATGTGTGGTTTCACATTGTTCCACTTTCCCATATCTGTTTCTGATAAAGCTTGCTGCTCTTGCCTGCTCCCTCTACCCCTTGGATGCTCTTGGACGCTCCTCTTTCTGTGGACCCCTAAGGCATAAGAAGTAGCAAGTCTCCCTCCACCACGTTCTTCTTCCTTCTGTCTTCAGGAGTATCTTTGTCTTCTTACCCTTCCTTCTTCCCTTCAAACAGAACCCATCCCTCCCCAGGGATCCCTCCTCCGTTTTGCTCATTCCACTCCCTCCATATTCTTTGAAGATCTTGTTTCTTCGTAGTGTTAGCTGGGCCTCATCAAATCCTTCCAGTTGCTCAGAAACTGTATCCTTTACAGGATTCTCTCGATTTTAGTGCTTTCCTATCAGGCATGTATGAAATTCTTTTTTACAGACCCATTCCATCTCCATGATGCTCAGCTTTTGTGCTCATAAGCCTTTGGAATATTGAATGCCAGCTCATCCTTTCAATAGTAGTTGGAACTTCTAGGTTGTGGGGGAGGGGGCACCACTCTGTTCTTCTGCATGCCTGCATTGGTTTTTCTTTGTTAGGGAACTCTGGATTTAGGCTGATATTTTTCCCTTTGAGGGTTGAGGTTGATCAGTGGATTCTTTTTGTCTTTGCTTTGTATCCTCTAATAGATTTTGGGTAGTTTTCATTTATGATTTCTTGAAATAGAGAGTCCTGATTTTCAGGGAGTCCAGTGACTCTTGAAAGCTAGATGTGACCTGGTTTCCAGGTTAGGGTTTTTTCAAAAATATATTTGATATATTACGTATTCCCTCTTTTCCCCTCAGTCTTTTGATTTTGTGCTAATATTCTTGCTGTCTCAGTTTGGTCTATTCAAAGAACTAGCTTTTATATTGAGCTCATTAGGATTTGTCCAGTGTTCTGCATACATGATTCCATTTGATTCTCCCTGTCAAAGTCAATGCTATTATGACCTTCATTTTACAGATGAGGAAACTGAGGCTGTGGGAGGGAGGTTAAGCAGCATGTCCAGAGCAGCTAGGAAGTATCTGAGGCCAGATGTGGCCTCTCTCCTTCCACACCTTGGCACCATCTATGCAGCCCAGGTTTCAGCATGTCCACTTGGCTTTTCCTAACTTTCCTAAGAGGTCTCCCCCTGCCCCACCCCCCTTTTTTTCCTCTCTTTGTCTCTTCTAGACATGTGGGTTATCCTTGGACTGATGCATTTGTCCCTTTGAGGGAGTCTCTAGCTATACAATACATTTTCATGCTGGTGATTGTTTTCTTTATTTATCTCTTCAGTTTTAGTTCCAGGAGTGGATTCTCTCCCCCACAATGGCTCTATCTCTTGCTGGCACCTCTACTAACCTCTACCTCTGAGATTGAGGTCGCCTTGGATCTTTAAGATTCAGAGTGATAGATTTCAGAGCCCTCAGGACAGAGTCTTACAGACCGGATCATTGTTTTCCTGCTTCTCCAGGGCTTCCAGGGTCCGTCTGTCTCTTGGGCTTTCTGACCACCTCTGGACAGTGCTCAGGAGAATAAGCCTGGTGTTACTGGCCCATTCTCTTTATCCATTGGCTCATTTTCTACTGCCTGAAAAAAGGCCCAATAAGAAACCTTTGCTGGAATCTGCACCCCCTGGATCTAGCAGATTGTGTCATTGCCCCCTTCTTCACATCCAGAATTCCATCCGCACTCAACACCAGCAGTCTTTGTACTCATTTGCAATGTGGCTTCTGACCCCGGCTTTCTTGTCAGGGTCACCTTTGAGTGTTGTTTTTAAAAATTTTGTTTTGTTCCTTTTGGGGTTTTCTTCCATCACTATGTCTTTTGGGGGGGGGCAGTTGGAGTTAAGTGACTTGCCCAGGGTTACACAGCTAGTAAGTGTCAAGTGCTTGATCTGAGGCCGGATTTGAATTCAGGTCCTCCTGACTTCAGGGCTGGTGCTCTATCCATTGCGACACCTAGCTGCCCCTCCATCACCTATTTCTCAGTATTTGCTTTTTCATTTCCTTTCCATTATCCCTTGTAACGAGAAAAAAGGCAGCTCAGTAAAAAATCCAGCATATTCATTCATCAAGTCTAGTTTGATCCTACACACACACACACACACACACACACACACACTCACTCTCTCTCTCTCTCTCTCTCTCTCTCTCTCTCTCTCTCTCTCTCTCTCTCTCTCTCTCTCCCCCCCCCTCTTTCTCTCTCTCTCCACCTCCCTCCCTCCCTCTTTCCCTCTCCCTCGTCTTTCTCACCTTTCTTGAGGTCCAAACTTTGGGTTCTAATTTCCATTATTAGTCTTCCATTTACACTGTTATTATGTTTGTCATCCTAGTATTCCTTACTTCCTCTTCCTTTGCTTCTCTGCATTCCCATCTTCAGCATTTCTTGAATTAATATAATACAATATAATGAGCTATTTCTTGTAGCCACTTTCCTTCAGCAGATCTCATTAAGTACTATGCATGCACTGATTCTTGCTCCTGGCTACTGGTGTCCCCCATCAGAGAGCATAGCTTTTGAGAGTTGAAAGGCTCCTTTGTACCCAACTAGACCAAGTGTACCCAAAAAGAAATCTCCTTGAGAAATCCGACACTCATTTCACATTGAGATATTCTCATTGATTAGTAATTTTTTTTCCAGCTTCAAGCCTCTGTTTGCATCTTTGCCACTCTGGCAAAAATATGGAGGACTGCACTCTGGGGCCATGCAGAACAATTCTAAGCCAGCTTCCCTGTGGGCCTGGTAATGCTTCCCATTTGTCCTCCCTATTCAGCCCCAGTCTTCTCTTTTCAAGCGTCGTCATTCCCAGTTCCCTCAGCTGAGCCTTGTGCCTGTGCTGTCATCCTCCAGGCACTTGCTGGTGTCCAGACCGGACCTGAAAAGAGCACAGCTGGACTCTTTCTCTCTTATTCTGTGTTTGCCATCACATCCTGCTGAATCAGGGAGCTTTCCAACTCCTAGGTCTGGATCAGAATAAATCATCTTCTCTCATTTTATATTTGGATAAAAAGCAGGTGTGTTTGGTTCTTTAGCCCTTAAGTCATGTCAGCAAACATTAATTAAGCTCCTACTATGTGCTAGGCACTTGGCTAAGTTCTGAGGATAAAGTGCACCCTCCCCACCCCCACCCCAGTGTGTCTTCACACTTTAGCCATAGTTCTTCCCAGTACTTTAGCCTGTTAAGTGCCTACTTCCTATTTTCACTTATGTGTCCCATTGACATTTTGAATTCACTGTGTCAAAGACAAATCATTGTCTTTCTCTCACAAATCTTCCTCATCCATCCATTTCAGTTGACAGTCTTACTACCATCCTTTCATTCCTCCTTTTTCTCTACCTTCGAGTGTTCCCCTCTCCCTCATCCTCCATATCTAAACACATTGTCCTCTGCCAGACCACCCTCACCTCTCCTTGGCACTGGTGCATTCATCTCCCACTTGGTCTCTGCTTCCTGCTTCTTCCCCCACCTCCACCCCCAGGCTTGTCTTCCCACAGGTGCCAAAGTGAAGATCCCCAAGGCCATCTCTGACCATGGCCCTTTTTCACTCAGGAAGCTTCAGCAGCTGCTTTAGCTTCTCTTCTGTTTGCCATTTGAAGGTCTTCACAATCTGGAGTCAACTTCTGTTTTCAGCTTTATTTCTTTTCCCTCCTCCTCAGTGTACTCTACTCTCTAACCAAACTGGCCCTCATCCCCTCTGTCATGTACAATATTCCTTCTCCTTCCTTCACCCCTTTACTGACTAGTCACCTTGCCCTCAATGTTTTCCCTCCTTAACCTCTTCAAATCCCATTCAGCAAAAGAGTTCTCTCAAGTGGCAACTACTATGGAAAGCCTTTTCTGATCCCATGATTCCTTAGTCCTTCCTCTAACCCCCCTTAGACATTACAAGCTAGACATTGGACTCAGGTGCTTCAGATAGAAATAAAAGCAAATGTTCCCTGCCTTCAAGGAGCTTACATTCTAATGGAGGGGGGTGGTGGCCAGTGAAGAGTACTCAGGCCAGAACATTTCTTGGAACTGTACCAGAGTTGTTTGACAGCCATGACAAATCAGTGATGATTTGATCCATGTTTCATGATTTGGAGGTGGAGGAGGAGTGAGGGACAATACATTATGGGGGTAAGGTGATTGGCAAGACAGACAGGCATTGAGATAACAAAGCCCCAAAGCCTGCATTCCTTCCTAAAGTGAAGGGGTGACAGATTCTAGGTGTAGTCAGTCTCTAGTGTGCCAAGGTTGTTGGCAAGACTGCCCCATGTTTAATAAATCGGTATGTGTATACATAGCGAGGAAAATGCTCTCTGTATATAAGGGTTGAATGAAACAGTGACTTGAGTAGCTGGGGAAATCTTGTGTCTTCCTAATCTTCGCCAAATGTCCTTTGAGCTTGACTCTCAACTTCTTTCCCCAATTAGGGGGAAGAGCATCCTTTATTGCCCCAGGGTCCTCAGTGTCTGTTTAAGTCCAGTGATTCAGAGCTCAGCGCATGTGATAACTTTGAGATCCTCTGCTTTCTGAGTTCCAGGTTCTGGTCGTGAGGAGGCAGGCCATCTGAGAACTTCTTGGGCCTTCTTACTGAGCATCATTGGCAGGCCTGTCCACAGCTGCTTCTTTGGCAACTAAGGAGCTCATGTAGAATGTTCTCCCATCCCTTCTGAAGTGCTAGAATGCCACAGTTCTCCCGAGATGGTTGGGGAGCCAATGGGACTTTGGCCCTTTGGGACACTCACTGGAGAGTGGTAACTGGTACCCTGTGGCAGATGGCATTGATTCACAATGTTGCGCTCTTGGTCCTTGCTTCAGAGTTGGGTATTGGCAGGACAATTTGTCTAAGCCTTGAGCCTGCTAGACTTTTCATTTGAAAACCATTGCTGTGGTGTTGGAGGTCAGGAGAAGGACTAGGCCTTTATCTTCATTTTGTTTTTAAATTTTAAAAATGTTCTTTATCTGCCGAAATGGATAACCAAGTACCCCGATTATGTGAGCTGAGATTGTCAGGGGTGGAGTGGACAGGAACCATTTGCCGGCTTGGGCAGGGGTGTTGGGGGGTGGGGAGGATGGGGGTGGAGTGTTTTGAGCTAGTATCATTTGCTGTAACTGTCGTAATATTTCATTTTTCTGGGCCCTCTTTGGTGACCTCATTTAGGGTTCTTGCCAATCAATTTGGTTTGTCATGAAAATGACTGGAACCACCTCAGCACTCTAGACACCTGTTTGCATCAGGGGCCATTTCCCAAAGCGCAGTGGCATTGTGGGAGAAGGAGCTTTGGTCCATGGCTCTGCCCTGCCTCCCCAAACCTCCCTGGCTATAGCACCTTGCTTCTTCACCTGTTCCTTTCCTGACTCCATTTTGCTGCAGGGATCCCATTGTGCCTGGTAATGCTTGATTCTGCATGGAGTTGAGCTGCATTTTCTTTCAGTACTTAATCCTTTCCAAGGAACTGCCTCCAAAAGAGGGGATTGACTCCCATGATTTTATTTGTTTCTCTGCTTCCCTCCTATCTCAATCTGAGGCTTTGTTTTGCCCCTTCAGGGAATGCACCCCTGCTGATGATCTCTTTCTTGATTTGATCATGTATGTCCACATTTTGTTTGATTCTGTTTCTCCCCATGGCCATGACCTGGTCCTTGCTTTGTTTCTTCTGACCTTGGTGCCTCTTTTCCAGGCAAATGAGACGGCTGGATGGTTTTTGTTTTGTGGGACAGTAAGAACAATGAGCAGGTGGAGGGAGGGGGCTGAGAAGGAAGCAGGGTCAGATCCCGGAGAATTGGAGCCTTGGCACCCTTCTTCCAGCCTGTCTGTGGACAAGTCCGTGTCTTTGTGTCTGAAATATTTTTCAGTCTTCCTTTGCTACCCATCTGCACTAAAACCTGAAGCTAGAACATGCTGTGAGGTACTGTGTGTGCATGTGCGCGCACACACATGCTCCTGTTTTTACTGTTACCGGCTTTGTGAGGGTGATTTGTAACTCTTTTTCCCTATTCCTTTGAAAAACGTTTTATTCCTAGTAGTTAAACAACTTTTATCATTGTTTTTGGAATGACTCCACAATACTTCTTTCTAATTGTTTCTGAAGTTTTTGTCTGGATTAATGTGTGGTTACAAAGAGGTCTTGGAATCCGGTTCTGTCTCCTATTCTTTTCCCCACCCTCTTCTCTGTGTTGAAGTGTTTTCTTCACCCCTTCTCCAGGGTTATTAGAACAGAAGAGCGAGTGCCCATTCCCCTCATGGATTACATCCTCAATGTGGTAAGCTGGCCCAGTGCTGCTGCTGGAGATGGGGGGATGAGGCGAGGCATAAACCATAGGAAAGAGATAAGATGACACCATCCCACCCCCACTAATGGGAGGAGCGAAGGGCAAAAGGTTGGGGGAAAGAAGGATGCCGAGGAAGTGGCTCTTGCTTCTATCAGCTTTAGTCAGATTCCATGCCCTCGTGGTGAAGGAATCATTTCATTTCTGTCATGCCAGATCAGTGGCTCCCAAACTCAAGTAAGCACTCCTCCCAAACTCCTATGACCTTTGTTTTCAGATTTAGGAATAGGATTGGGGATGGGGGGGGAGGGGTGCTAGTAAGCAGTCCTAAATTACTAAGAGAAGATTTGAGGCTTTATGTTGGCTGAGCTGTCCAATCATAATCTTAGTTTCATTGGTATTAAGGTCTGATTTTCTTTGGTTTCTTGTCGACACCATTGCCCTATTACTTTTGGGGGTATGGGTTGGTGGGCTTGGGTATGATTGCCCTTGAGTAAATGGTATTGGTCTGGGGCTAGCCAGATTTCTTCAGTGAAATCTGACCTGCTCTGTTTCCAGCTATAACTTTCCCTGCTTTTTGTTCCTAGATGAAGTTTGTGGAATCCATTTTAAGCAATAACACAACAGATGACCACTGCCAGGAGTTTGTGAATCAGAAGGGGCTGCTGCCTCTGGTGTGACTATCCTAGGGCTCCCCAACCTGCCCGTTGACTTTCCCACATCAGCTGCCTGTCAGGCTGTGGTAGGGGTCTGCAAGTCCATACTGGTAAGGCCCAGCAGAATGGTCACCCACCCACAGGCCTGTTTGCTCCCTCCCTTTCACTCAGGCAAGAGAAATGGAGCCCTGATGGTCTAGATTGTCTATTAAGGTATCATGGGATGAGAGGAGATGTTGGGTTTCTCTTTTATGGATGTATTTTGGGTTTTGCACATTGCTAATTTCCCCATAGTAACACTCATCCCCCAAAAACTCTCTTCCCTGTAACAATGGGAGATGAACCAATCTAGCAGTGGCCATTTTGAGCTTTGTCTCATCTTTTTTTTTCTTTTTTTCCTCTTTCTTAACAATTTATTTTGAATTATCAACAATCACTTCCATAGGCTTTTGAGTTTTATATTTTTCTCCACCTCCCTCCCTAAGATGGCGTGCAATCTGATACAGACTATACATATACATTCCTATTAAACATATTTTCACATTAGCGATGTTGTAAGTAAGAATTAGAACCAATAGGAGGAACCACCAGAAAGAGGAAACAAAACACAACAGAAGAAAAAAAACAGCAAATTAGCCTGCTTCGACCTGTATTCAAACTCCATAGTTCTTTCTTTGGATGTGGGTAGCATTTTCCATTGTGAGGCCTTTGGAGATGTCTTAGATCCTTGTATTGCTGAGAAAGGTTAAGTCTATCAATATTAGTCATCGTACAATATGGCTGTTGCTGTGTACAACGTTGTCCTGGTTCTGCTCACTTCACTCAGCATCAGACCACACAAGTCTTTCCAGGGTTTTCTGAAGTCAGCCTGTTCATCATTTCTTATACCACAATAGTATTCTATTACATTCATATACCACAACTTGTTCAGCCATTCCCCAATTTCCAATTTTTTGCCACCACAAAAAGAGCTGCTATAAATATTTTTGTACAGGTGGGTCCTTTTCCCATTTGTATGATCTCCTTGGGATATAGCCCTAGAAGTGTTATTGCTGGGTCAAAGGGTATGCACATTTTTATAGCCCTTTGGGCATAGTTCAAAATTGCTCTCCAGAATGGTTGGATCATTTCACAACTCCACCAACAATGCATTAGTGTTCCAATTTTCCCACATCTTCTCCAACATTTATCATTTTCATGTTTTGTCATGTTGGCCAATCTGATAGGTGTGATGTGGTACCTCAGAGTCGTTTTGATTTGCATTTCTTTAATCAGTAGTGATTTAGAGCATTTTTTCATATGACTATAGATGGCTTTAATTTCTTCATCTGCAAACTGTTGCTTGTTCATATCCTTTGACCATTTATCAGTTGGACCATGACTTGTATTCTTATAAATTTGACTTAATTCACTACATTTTTTAGAAATGAGGCCCTTATCAGAATGTCTCGTCTTTTAGAACCGAGATTGGTCGTTGCGTTTCGTCTGAGATCAACCGCCATTTACTGTTTTGTTTATGTTCTAGTTTTCTAGTTTGTTTCTGGTTTTCTTTGTGCAGCTTTCTATTGGTCTTGCCTTGTTTCTCTGAATTCATCCTTCTTTCATGCTTGAAGTGTCAAAACAGGCAGAAAAGAGTACAACAACATTGATGGCAATTTAAGAAGGGAGAACTTTGGATTCCGCCTAGAAGTCTTTGTTTTCCCTCCTTATCTTTCCTTCTTCTAATCTAATCTAATTTCTCTTCTAATTCTTTTGCTCTTCAGATTTGTCCAAAAATGATCTGACTTTATTAGAAGTGGGAGATTCCTTTGATATTCTACTCAGTGCTAATGCCCACATCATCACACACACAATGGCCTTTCACAAGCATCTTCTACCCCTCTACATTTGTTGTAATGTAACAAATTCCAAATGATATAAACACAAAGGATCAGCTCATTAGAAAAATTGGAGAAACTCTAGTTTGGGAGAGAATTCATAATGAAGCCAGACATAACAGGGGAGAATATAAAGTTGACAATTAGATCAAAAACACTGTTGGTGCAACTAACCTGAGAGAAGAGGGGATGCTGATATCCAATCTGCATTCACAATTTATGTGATTGATTTCATTCCCCTATACAAGTTGTCAACAAATAAATTCTTTAAAAATAGAAACCATCAGCAATCCCAAGAAAATACTGCAAATCATGAATAATGGACGATTGAAACTAAGACAATTCTTAGAGTTCAACTCAAATAGGCTGAAACCATGAACGTTGGAAGGACTATAGAAAGAAAGGCACAATAATGTGCCCTGGGTCAAGAATTTATTTGGTCCAATCATTCTTTATTACTATTATTATTATTTATTTGGTATTTTATTTTTCCTTAATTACATGTAAAAGCAATTTTTACTATTCATTTTATAATTTTTTGAGTTCTAAATTCTGTCTGTTCTTCCCTCTCCACCCACCTTATCGAGAAGGTATGCAATTGATAGAGGTTATACGTGTGTCATCATGAAAAACACTTCCATATTAGTCATACTGTAAAAGAAAACATAGACACCCACCAAAAACAAACAAACAAAAAAACCCCAAACCATGGAAAATAAAGAAAGGTTTAAACAGTCTGCTTCAGATGGTGTATTCAGACATCATTGGTTCTTTCTCTGGGGACAGATAGCATTTTTCATTATAAGTCCTTCAGGGTTGTCGTGGACCAAGTCCAACCATTCTTGAAAAATACTTGGGCATATATAACAAAAGTGATTAAATGGTTCAATATCTTTGACCTGGTGGTCCCCCTGCAGGGTACATAGGGTAGGGAGATGTTTGGCAGAAGTAAAGGTCCCATATTCACTCAAGTACCTTCTGTGGTAGAAAACAAAAATAGGAGATCCAACAAGCAAAATGGTGAAACAAAAAATAACCATAAGAGGCACCTAGCCGATCAGTTCTGAGACTTCCCATCACTCCCATGAAGCTGGCAAGGCTATTTTGATATCAAAACCATCAGTACTGGGAATAACGCGGGCTCCTTAATGTCCCATTGGTAGAGATGTGAATTGTTCGTCCTGTTAAGGAGAAACAGTGGGGTGGGGTGGGATATGGGGAGAGGATATGCCAGACAGGCAGGAATACTCAGCTTGGTCCTTTTTGTCCTGGAAAATCCTGTCATTCTCATGGGAGAAAGAAAGGTGACCCCAAAAAAGCATCCATAGTAATCAATTCTTCAAATAGTAGTGAGTCAGGTACTTTTCCACCCCAGCTGGCTTTGTTGTCTGTCTGTGGCTCTGTTCTCTTTCTTCAAGCCCTTTGACGATGAGCAATCTTTGATTTTACTCTTGAGGAGAGAAGCAAACAAACTTGAAAAGATGGACAAGAGAATATTGGCATCTGTTTGCAGATCACTGGCAAACTCAAAGTAGAATGGGATTTCTTGGCCCAGTCCAGCCTGCTTGTCTTGCCATTTGCTGTTGAACAGAATCCCATCCGTGGCAGGCCCCTCTCTTTTGTAGCAGCAAGGCTGTTTGTCCTGTTCATTCTGGCTTTTCAGGTCTAGGCCTCTTCAGAAAATACTTTTTGAGTATTTGCTAAGGAGAGAGGTTGTATCACAAGGGAAGAAAACAGCTAGGAGAACCCTGTATTCATTAGTCATAGCAACATTTAAAAGACCCCAGAACCCAGTGACCCATTGTAGTTCTACAGGCTTGATGAGGAAACCTACCTCCCTCCTTGGGACAGAAGTGGACACTATCCCTGCCCATTGCCATGATGGTTTATTTTGCTTCCTTATGAAGGAGGGTTGGGTAGGGAAGCAGAGGCCAAGTTCTTTGGATATGACAGTGATGTTAAAAAACAAAAGTGTCAATGAAATATTGTAATCCTCGGCTCATTTATTGCAGACTCTATCCTCTCCTCTCCGGAACCTCTGCACTGGCCAATCGAGGCCCCTGGGGGCTCTGTGCTTTTACGAGAGCTCGCCTGTGCTGGCAATGTCGCAGACGCCGCGCTGTCTGCCCAGGCCGCCCCTCTACTGCATGCTCTCACAGCTGCTCATGCGTACATCATGATGTTCGTTCACACTTGCAGGGTTGGCCAAGAAATGAGATTCTTCAGGATGAATATGCTGTTTTGGAACTCAGGAATACCTTCCATTTCCTGTAAGGTTGCTTTCTCAAGACACCAGGGTGTCTGCTTTCTTGGCTGGCAAGCTGTTACGAGGGAAGCAGAGTTTCCTTGAAGGTGCTAATTTTCTCTCGATAGCTCTTCCTCTTCAGTCTGTTTGAATTTCAGCTGATGAAATCAGCGAATGTTTTCATCTCTGTCCATGGGAAGTGGGCTGGTTCAAATTGTGATGTTTTCAGGGGACATGGGAAATATTTTGGAACTTCAATATTGGGTCATTTGCTTTGAATCTAGTAAAGGTATTATGTGCCATGGGCGCCTACCACCCTATCCTAAAGGGGCCTAGGGAGTAAGGAACATGAGAGGTACCCTTAGTTTGGTCCACCATTATTTCACCCAGACTGTTGTCTTCCGTGCAGTAGATGAGGGAATGTTAGCGTTTCAAGGTATTGATATCTCTTCCATGTCAAATTGGGAAATCGCTGTCTGTGGGATAGCACCATTTCTTTTTCTGTTCTAGAGCAAGATCCGTGCCATCTCAGTGAACCAGTGGGGTTCCCAGTTGAGTCTAAGTGTCCTAAGCAAGCTGAGCCAGTTCTACTGTTCTCTTGTCTGGGAAAGCACAGTTCTAATCTCACTGTGTACCCCAAACAGTAAAGAGAATAGGAATGTGGAGAAGAGCTCCCCAAGCCTCTTCTGGTTGCCCAATACATAGCTTTGAATTCCAAGTCAGAAAGATCTCAGTTCCTATCTTGCCTCTGACAACTCTGAGCTGTGTTTCCCTAGTCGAGTCCTTTAGACTATCCTCCATAGTTTTTGAAGTGTAACATGGGAGATGAGGAGCTGGCCTCCAAGGTCCCTTCCAACTCTGAATCTCTGATTCTGGGAGCAGAATCCAGCCTGAGTCTGCTCTTTGGGCCTTTGACTCCATCTCTCTGTCCCAAATGGGTGACTAGAAGAATTGCTTTTGAAGTACTGACTTGCCTGCAGGTTCTCTCTGCTCTGGTTCCTCAGTTCATCTGAGAAGCCATAGAAGAGAGTGGCCTGTGTCAACAGCCTAGCGGGCCATAATGCTGCTGTGTGTGGCTCCATGGCTGTCACTTTGGGTCCTCCAGTGGTTGGTTTGGGAGCTATTGGGAGTGCTCCCTTAGGACTGCAGCTTAGCCCTTGAGAAAGCAGCTGCTTCGGCAGCTTTTCTCTAAGGAAAAAGTCACTCTGTGCTTAGCTCCTAGGCTTTGAAATTGCTAGTCTGGTTAGCGGCCAAGAAGGTAGACCTTTGTCTTGTTTTTGGTGTGCTTTCAGCCTCCCATCTGGGTGCGAGTTTGGGCAGCAGACATGCAGAAGCCAGTCCCAAAGAGAGGAGAAGGCAGCCACTACAACAGGCACTCATGGGACCAAGAGGGCTGGTAGCTGGAAGCTTGTGGATGGTACAAGTTCTAGCCCTGAATTCGATTTGGTCATGAAGAGGGCAGGTGACAGCCATTACTGAAGATCAGTCAAAGGGTTAGCTACTGGAGTATTGTTCTGTTTTTAATCAGCAACCCTTTAGCCAGTTTCTTTTTTAAGTAAAGCCCCACACAGCAGACTAGTTGACCTGTTGTCTCTCACCCCCGAAAGACTACACAATCCAACATGTTTGTTCTTTGGCTCTCCTTGCCAAGAAAACTGGAGCCAAATGCTGTGTGCCAATGTCACAATAGCATTTTTCTCTGGTACCTACTAGGTCTCTTCAGCAGGTCTCTGTTGAGCATTTAATACTGTCAGGGATTCAGAGCAGCCTAGAGGATATCTCTTTTTAGAAGGGGGTGGATAAAGGTCTTCAAATGGAGTTGCCAGATCTGGTTGAATACCCCCACCCCCACCTCTCATCTGTCTACTTCCATGGGTGTTCCAACCCTGCATTACATGTATTCATTCTGAGCCAGAATGGTCAGCATTACCATCTATCCTTCCCATGCATGCATTAGAGGATAGCAGACTGCCAGACAGACTTGAGTCAGGGCTTGTTTGTTGGTGAGGCCTCTTTGTTTTGCCGACGTCAGTGGTCTTTTTTGTTTTCAATCCATTTGGGTCACCCCTGCCATGTGCAGAGTTCAGTGTTCAAAACTGGGGCTGAGTTTAACATGAGGCCAAAAGGCCCAAGGAGCCAGAGCAATTCCAGTCACTCTGTTCCTTCTTTCTCTCTTTCTCTGTTTCAATCTGTGCAGAAGAAGAAAGTGATGGGACAACAGCTACTGTGGAGGCCTCTGCCCAGGCCTTATTGGAAGGCATTGGACTGGATGGTGATACTTTGGCTCGCATGGAGACGGATGAGCCCAGTGCCTCAGACCCCAAGGGCAAGTCTAAGATTACCCCTGCCATGGCAGCTCAAATCAAACAGATTAAGCCTTTGCTTTCTGGTGACTCTGCTGTCTCCCCCTAGGCCTGATGGACAAAAATGCCTGGCTGGCCCAGCTTCACCTTGTGGCCCAAGCTTCACCAAGGCCTTGGGGAAATGTGGCCATCCATTGCTTTTTGGTGAGTTGAGGCAAATCAGGGTGCTTAGAAGTCATTTGGAATCTCCCACAACTTTCCCTTCATTTCCTCTTTTGAAAGTGAATATTTTTTGCCTTTGTGTCACCATCATTTCTGCCTGTCCCTTGTCATTCCCCATCTGCAGCATTCCTTTGGAACAGAGAAGCAACATTAAGCAAAACCAAACAGCACAGAACTCAGAAGCACATGTTGACAGTGTATATGCACCTTCTGTCTCTTCTGAGACCACAGTGGATCATTCCAGCTAGTCATTTTGACTTCTTTTTAGTTACTTCAGATTGAACAGAAATGAATCACTTGCCTACCAAAACACAGGAACAAACCAAATTAACACTATAGGCAGACAACAGGCATTTATTAAGGACTCGCTGTGTGCTGGGCACTGTTGATCTTGGCATATTGTCGATGCCAAGAATGGCAAACACTTGGTCTGTGTGTGCCCTGGAGGAACTCATGTGCAAACATCTCTATACATACAAGATAGTACGCAATGGAAATCCCCAAGGAATGGCATTAGCCGTGATGAGAGAAGGAGGAAATGGTATTTGGTGAGGTCTTCTGGGTAGTACAGACTTGAAGGAAGCTGGAAGGCAGAGTGTTTCTGGCATGGTGGACTGCTGGACAAAGTGCTTAGATCTGAGAGGTGGAGGGGCTTGAGTGTGCAGAGCAGCCAGGAGGCCAGTGTCACTCAATGGAAGAGTATGTGTCGGGGAGTCAGGTGTAGGAAGACAGGAAAGGTTGGAAGGGGGCTGGGTCACAAAGGGCTGTGAATGCCAAACAGAGCTTTTTGTATTTGATTCTGGAGGCCGTAGGGAGCCACTAGCGTTTATCAGACTCACCAGCAGGTGTGAGATGAGAAGGGCCTACATCAGGGAGTTGAAGTGTGAGAGGAGATGGGGCAACTAGGTGATGCAGTGGAGAGAGAGCACCGGCCCTGAAGTCAGGAGGACCTGAGTTCAAATCTGGCCTCAGACTAAACACTTGACACTTACTAGCTGTGTGACCCTGGGCAAGTCACTTAACCCCAATTTCTTAAAAACAAAAAAAAGTGTGAGAGGAGAGGAGGGGGTATATTCGAGAGGTGCTGTGAAGATGATGAACAGAAACTAAGGAAACATACTAAAGAGATGTTCTGTAGGTAGAAACAAGAACTGACTGACTCATTCACTATGTGGGATGAGTGTGAGTGAGGAATCAAGGTTGCTTGACAATCTTGGTGGCTAGAAGACTGATGATGCCCTGAATAGTGGTAGGGCAGTTGGGGGAAGGGAGATAATGAGCTCTGCTTTGAAAAGATTGAGTTTGGAATGTCCATAGGACTTCTTGTTTCCAGCATCTAAAAGGCCGTTGGTGAAGTGAGAACCCTAGAGAGCTTTGGGCTGGAGAAGTAGATCAGAAAACAAACTGCAGAGAGATGATAATGGAGCCCATTGGCCTGAAGCGAGATGGTGCCATAAGAGGGCTGAGGCCAGAGTTTTGGCGGACAGCTAGGTTAGTGGGGGGGACCTGGAGCTGTTCTGAGCAAAGGAGCCTAAGAAGGAGCGATGTGGAGACGCCAGGGCCTTTCAACACTATGGAGTGGGGAGGAGATGGCTTTTCCTCCCAGGATGTTTCTTGAATGTCATGCAAATTGGTCTCCCCTCCTAGCAGGCAGACAGTTTCCCCCTTCTGCTGGTGCAGATAGCTGACTCTCTGGTCCTTCAAAATCTTGAAGCCTCGAAGGCTCCATTCATGTTCTGCTTCCTTCTCTCATGCCTTCTTTCAGTTCCTTTCTACGTACCTACGTGTACCTACGTACATGCAGTATGCCCCAGTGGAATGGAGGGAAGCCTGTTTCCCTTTTGCCTCTGTGTCCCAGGGGCCTTGCACAGTCCCTGACATCTTTTTCTTGCTTCAGAATTGACTTGGATGAATTCTGTGTTTCAGCCTCCTTGAGGTTAGGTCGAGCTCTTGCTGGGCTCTTTGGGCTTCTTGTTAAACTCTGTGTGGGATCCTCTGTTCGCCAGCAGAGAAGTCACCATGCAACCAGCACCACAACAGTGCCAACACCTGCAGCCAGGCAACAGCTTCTGCTCTCACAAATCTCCTCACTAAGGGCTTGTCCTGGCAGCCCCCACTATACACACCCATGCCCAGATTCAGGTGAGCCATCCCCTGAGGCTGCTGGACCCTAGCACTGGGCACCACTCCCTTAACATTCAATATTACCCTCATCCTGGCCTTGTGCAGAAGTGGGAACGAGGCTTTGGACTTTGTGGGCTTCTGTGGCAAGAATCCTGCTGGTTTCTGCTTAACCTCAAATGACCATTCCGTGGTCATCTCTGCCACTAACTTACTGCTGTATAGCCTTGGAGGCCCTTGCCCTCTGTACAAGGAGAACCTTGTCCTGAAGGGTCTAGGATCTCCTCCTGACATGCATTCGGTGGTCTAAAGAAGTGGCCCCCAAATTGGAACTGTCTTTTCTTTAGCTTCTGCCTACCTCGGAGTGCAGGAATTAGAGTTTGTGTCATTATAGTACCATCTTACTTGGTGCTCCCTCACCAGAAAAAGAGCATCAGTGTGCTATTTATTAGGCCATGTTGATATGTGGCTCATGTAGGACCATTTTTCTCTTGTACAGGCTGACTTTCTTCATCTGTTCAGTCGGGTTCACCTCCCCCATGCTGTTTGATGAAAGGAAGTACCCATACCACCTCATGCTGCAAAAATTCCTCTGCTCTGGATGTCACAGTGCCCTTTTTGAGTAAGGACAACCCTGTAGACACTAAGAATCAGGTCTCTTGGTCTTTGGGCAAGGCTGTTCACCCCTAGTGATCCCCTAAGGAAGGTCGCTGTATTATAGTGGGAGGGCATACGCAAAAAAACCCAAGCAGCAGCCATTGCAATGTCACCATTTGGTGTGTAGCACCCAAGTCTTCCTTTTCGTGATGAAAGGAAGTAGGTGGTGATTCTTGTCAGAGGAGTGGTGGGTGGGAAGGGATATCAATCCCTCTCCTGAATAGTGGCCCTTTTGTTAGGCTGGGAGGTCTTTCCCAAGGACCCCTGGGGTAGTCAGGTATAGAAGCCTTATAGACTTCTTTTCAGAAGAATGTTATTGAGTGCATTTTAAAAAAATACTTTACATTAGAAAGGAAAGTAAATAGGGCTTTCAAAAGCACTGGTTCCTCTCAGACCCTAGGTTGAGTTCCCTGCACTATGCATTTGAGTTCAATTATTGACTACTTAGTAAAGAAAGCCCCAAATCTAAACTCGCCAAGACCCTGTAATTTGAAGAAGGTAGTGGCCATGAATGAACACAGGGAGGTAGCAACATGTGCCCATATAGACACTGAATCGTTCCCTTCCCTCCCACTGGGATTTGGACGTGTTCCTTCCTTGCCTCCCTTTTCCCCACCTAGAACTTTCAACTGGGCTCTCACCATGGGAGGCAAAGTTCCTGTTGCTGAGGGCCTCGAAAATGGTGATCTGTCAGACGGCACAGGAGAGTTCCTAGACGCCTGGCTTATGCTAGTAGAGAAGATGGTGAACCCAACCACCGTGCTAGAGTCCCCCCACTCCCTGCCGGCCAACCTTCCTGGCAGCCAGAGCCACCCCCAGTTCAGTGCCCTGCGATTCCTTGTGGTGACTCAGAAGGTGAGTGACTCTTACGCTGAAGGATTTCTCTCTACTCTGGCTTCAAATGATGAATTTGTCACTGGGACTGGGCACCTTTCTTGTTTTATACATTTTCTTCAGGACACAGATTGGTGTGAATAACAGCTGCCTGTCCACTAGTGCTAAACTCTTCTGCTTCCTCGTTTTTGGATTGTCTGTCCCTCCCTCGTGGACCACTGGCCCTTCCCCACTCATCCTCTGCCCTGTACCAAACCAAACTGGATGGAACTGCCTTATTCTCACACTCAGTATACCTAAGCCAAGATTGGTCTGTTACAGAATTGTAGTCACTGAGAAGTCTTTTTTCCTTTTCATGGTTTTTAGGGATTATACTTTGTTCCATGGGATTGTTTGGCTAGGGGGGCAAGGCAGGATTGAATATAATTAAACTATGAGGGTTCCACTTTGGCAGCTGGCTGTATGCCTCAAAGCCTAGTCTCCAAGTCCCCTTTGCCCTCAGAGGTTTCTGGGTGCATTGAGTGTGATGTTGATCCATGGTGACCTGACCCTTCCTGCCCCTTGCAGGTGGCCTTCACCTGCATTAAGAACCTGGGGAATCGGAAGCCCCTGAAAGTGTATGGAGGGCACATGGCCGAGTCAATGTTGGCCATCCTGTGCCACATTCTTCGTGGTGAAGCTGTCATCTGAGAGAGACTGAGCAAGGACAAGGAAGGGGCCCAAGGAGAAGAGTCAGGGCCAGAGGAGAGTGGCTCCTGCCGTGACCCTCAAGTCAACCAGCAGCAGCTCCAGCAGGTAGCACACACTTCCTTTGGTGGCAGTGCTAGGCCACATAGCCTATGGCTATGCGAGAAGGCAAAGAAGTACCATTTCCCCTATTTCAGTGGTACAGGCCCGGCCATAATCACAATACAGGGTGTCCTCAAAAGTTTTCATACCAGGTTATGCTTTAACACCATTCAGACTTAGGATGCCTTTTCTCTATTAATTTGTTTCCTGAAAAGTGGCCTAAGGTTGGTACATATCCATGGGAAAGAGACATATGTGAGTAGAGTGGAAACTGACAGTATTACCATTGGAGGGAGAGTAACAATGAGGCCTTAATTTAATTCCCAAGCTGGCCTGGGAGTGATGAGGTCATTTAAATAAAGGCTGCTGCCACCCTCCCCTCCAGCCCTGAAGAGAGAGGGAATATTGGCTTTTCCTTAAAAGCTTGGGAGTCCCCCTTTATCAATCCAGGTGTTGCCCCCCTAGCCTGGCATTTTGGTAGCTGACAACTGTGGGCCTTCTAGGAACAGCATAGAACCTTGGTACTCCCCTGCTCAGTCACAACCAGTCCACAGAGTAGTTCCAAGGCTCCTGCAGAAGGCTCTACTAATCCCTCACATTTAGCTAAAGCTGTAAGGTTTGCCATCAGAAAGCCATGTTGGACTTGCCTTCTCCTATGCGAGTGAGAACATTTGGATCAAGCAGTCTGTGTAGCTGGGGCATCTCTGGCACCCTACGGTTCCAGGATGAGCCCTTCTCCACTCCAGTGGGCTTGAGGAAGTCTTTCTCCTTCCAGCTAAGGGACATGGGCTTCACAAGAGAGTATGCCACGGAGGCCTTCTTGAACACCAGCACCCAGCACCATGGAACAAGCCACGGAGTATCTCCCACCCTCCTCCCCTCATGGGAGGAGTTGTCCACATGAGTTGGGCACAGCCTCCAGGCTTGACACCTTCTCACCCTGCTTTCTCCCTAGTTGACCTTGCTTTCCACTAGGTGTTTTTGGAGAGCGGTCTTTGGCCTTTGGTGTGCATGGGCATAGGCTGTAACCGACTCTTCAATTTGGAAGCATCTTGCCTTTCCTGGATCATCCCAAGGAGAAGCCAAACCCTAACTCCATGGGCCCTATTCAGGAGGCCTAGTCCTCACTTGGTTTGGCATTGTAAGGATAGCAGGGCAACAGGCTTGCCATGGGACCACCATGCTGACTTTTCCAAAGAGATATTTTGTCAAGGATACCCCGTAGGCCATCTCTGGAGTGGGGGGATGAGAGATGTGCCATGCTGTTGGCACTGCACCATGTCTGCTGTGCTCCTCTCCCCGTTGCCCAGAAGCATCCAAGATTCTTATAGTCCACCTTGGAGCATTGGTCATCGGGGCCACAAAGAATTGGACAATAGCATTAAACTGTGGTATCTGAAGCCTTCCATCCCACCCTTCACTCCTTTGCTCTTGTTCTCGCCGGTATATCTCCTGTGGGCCATGCCTGCTTGCCAGAATCTACCGGCTCTCTACCAACATACCAGATTTCTCTTAAGGGCTTATTTAGTACATAGTCTGGTGGGGTAAAGGTACGGTGTATCAGTGTCCTGGCCCTCCTGAAGCCAATCTATTCCAGGCATAAGTCACTCACAGTTATAATGGGGGGGGGAGGTGCATCACTAGCCAAGCCTCAAGGGTAGCAGAGCTTCACAATTGAGAATGGGGAATGGAAGGGAGTCTCCTTTCTTTGGTTAAAGGTACATGGTTTCTGTTGGATAATGTTGTTTTCTCATAGACATTTTTCTCAATAGCTTTTGGGGTTTTTTAGATATCACTAAAACATCTCCCATTATTATCTCCCCAATATAATGTCCTCTCCCAGAGAGAGACATCCCATCCAACAAATGAATTTTTTTTTAAAGAAAAGGCTGAGAACAAAATCAACAAAAGTGGTATATTAGAAAAGTGTGAAAAATCTGCATTTCACAAGCCAGATGAGCAAGTGGCTTGCCTGCTTCAGCAGAGGGTTAGGCCGCGAGGCATCTTCTCATGTCTCTGCACAGCTCACTCACCCGCCTCAGCAGACAGTCTTCGCATGTCTCTTCATTGGAGCTGAACTAGCTCTTTGTGAATTTGCATTGTTCACTTTGGGTGGTTTTGTGCAGTGATTCTTTCCACCGACATTGTTGGCAACCTCATGTCTCTTAGTCTCCTTGCTCTGCATTGGAAATCACACGGGTCTCACCATGCTTCTCTCTCATTGCTTTAGGATCTCAGCATGTCAGAAGAGGACCAGACGATGACAGCCATTGCCATATCTTTGGGACAGGACATCCTAATGGATCAGAGAGCAGAGGCCCCCCAAGGTAACTTAAAGGTCAAAGTCATTTGCCTAAAGGAAGCCCAGCTGGGAAACAGCAACACTGCCCACTCTGGTTTTCTGGCCTCACTCTGATGGGGCTCTGGGTTGCCTGTAGGCCTGCTCTTCCAGGACCTCCCTGACGAACCACCATCAGAAGTGTACACGGAGCAGAGCCATACCCTGGAGAGTCCTTTGCTTTCAGGCCCTCTAATGTGTCCTCACTTTTTCCAACTCCCAGGAAGCTGCTTGCAGGAAGGAGGAAGAAGAGCGGAAAGCCCGGGAAAAGCAAAAAGAGGAGGAAGCCAAGTGCCTGGAGAAGTTCCAGGATGCTGAGCCCCTGGAGCAGGAGGAGCTCCATGGTTTCACAGACAGCATGTTGCCAGGTTGCTTCCATCTCCTGGATGAGCTTCCAGACACTGTGTACTATGTCTTGATCATGACTGCCATTAAGCGCAATGGGGCCGATTATCGAGACATGATTCTGAAGCAGGTGGTCAATCAGGTGAGCATTCCTTAGTGTGGGCACCGGGGCAGCCTTCCGAGAGCCCAGGGTCCTGGCCTTCTTAAAGTCTCAGTTGTTGCTCAGCTCTGTCTTTTATAACCACAATCCTCAGGTCTAAAGCCTTCTCCTTTTTAATCATGCACAGTCAGCGTACTTAGCACCTAGCCTGCCCAGCTGGAAAGGAATCCCTCTGAGTTCATCTTCCCCCATCTGCTTGAAGACCTCCATTGGCCCTGGGTGCAGTGCAAATTGTTGGCGAGTTTGTTACTCACCTAACTTATCTCCCTCACTCCCAGAGGGCGTCATCTCCACACACGTCCCTCTCTCTTGTTCTCTGCGGTAAACCAGCTCACTTCTCTGGCCCCTCTCCAACTTATCAGGCTCCTTCTAATTCTCCAGGTGAAGCTTGACAAGGGTGGTGTCTAGTGGCACCCTCATCTTCTTAGTCCAGGGAGCCAAATTTTCGTCCCCTTCTTGGGCTGCCAAAGCACATTGCTGACCATTCAGCCGCCTGCAAGTGGACAGTCTGCTGTCTAACCTTAAGCATTTTTCATCCAACATTTCTGAAGCTGATTTTTTTTTGGGGGGGGGTTGTTACTCATAGGTAAGAAATTTATCCCTAGTGAATTTCAGCCCAGTGCTCTAGACTGTTGAAATGCTTTTTGGATCCTGACTATCACCCAATGTCTCCATCATTTCTCCCAACTTCTTGTCATTTGAAAATCTGATCAGCAGACCCCTGGTAAACCTTTCTGGAAGTCATGGTCACAAACCCATGGTAAACAGCTCAGGGCCAGCCACAGATGCCTGGAGCACCCCCTTCTTCAGGCTGACGTTGCATTCTTGGTCACCATCCTCGAGTTCTGACCGCTGAAGTTGCTCCAAACCCATCTCCTCATACTGTGCCATAGCCAACATCTCTCCATCTTGTCCCCAAGGATAGGACGTGAGATTGGACCAAATGCTCTGCTGAAATCCAGGCACCCTGTGGCCACAGCACCCCCATCTCCCATCCTAGTTAAAACAAACTCATCCAAAGAGGGAGTCAGGCCTGGCCTGCTCTGGTGCGAGGCTTTTGGACTCCTTGAAATCACCACTCCCTTTCTAGATCATCTCCTTAATAACCCTTTGGGGATTTCCCCCCAGGAAACAAAAAGCAGGCTCCCTAGCTTAGAGTTTACAGGCACTCTGTTCTCTTCCTCTTTTGAAAACCAGGACGCCCATCTACCATCGGGCAGTCTTGTGGGTACTCTCCCATTTTCCAATGTCTTTTGAATCCCCCTCCAGCATGCTCTGCAGTCCCACCTGCCAGTTCTTTCGTCCATCTCTCCTCTGGACCAGATGACTTGAATTCAGTAGGGGCAGCCTGATGTTCTCTCCCTCCCTCCCCCTCTGGGGCGCCCACTGGGTTTCTTCTCTGTCGTGACTAGGCCAAAGCTCATCCTTCTCCTTGACAGAGACCACAGAAGCCAAAGGCGGCTTGGGCAGCTCCTCCTCATCTCTGGTGTCTGGCATCTGGGAATCACGGTCCCATCCATCTCAAGCAGTAGTCACATCCCTTCTTCCATTCTCACCCTTCCCCCAAGAGAACGACACCAAATCCCAACCTTTGTGTTGGCCTGGGCTTCCCTGGCCAGCCTCGGCTCATTCTGAACCTGAGCTTCCTGGTCGCTCCATTTATAGAACCCTGCCTTCCCTCCATCTTCTGGAATACCTCCATTTTGAGGGCACTTGCTACTAACCATGACATCCCATTCCATTTGCAAAACATTCTGATTTTGGTAGTTAGTGCACTAAACTAGCATCTCCCTCCTAATAGGCTTCCTTCAGTCTTCTTTTTGCTTCTTGGAGCTACTCGGGAAACATTTAATAAGTGCATTGGGGGGGTGGGGGTTGTTTAGTGGGTTGAGATTCTTCAGGTGCTGGTCACTGACAATCTGGGCCATATGAGGACAAAGAATGGGGCTTCCATGCCTGGAGTCACCATCTTGAGCAGCCACTGGCACGTGACATGGATATGGAACACCATGAACATCTTTCTTCTATCTTTACCCCTTTCTAGGTCTGGGAAGCCGCTGATGTTTTGATCAAAGCAGCTCTTCCTCTGACAACCAGTGACACAAAAACTGTTTCTGAATGGATCAGTCAGATGGTCACCCTTCCTCAGGCCTCAAACTTGGCTACTAGGATCTTGTTGCTGACCTTGCTGTTTGAGGTAAGGTTCTGTGCTGCATATGAGGTCTGAGGGTCACCGAGTGAGGGCCTTTTCAAGACCCAGAGCATTGGGATAGCAACAGAGCTTCAGATCCCCTCCTCGCTGCCTCAGAGGCTAGGAGGCAGCATTTCATTCCTTCTTTTGCCAACTCAGGAATTGAAACTCCCATGTGCTCGGGTGGTTGAATCCAGTGGCATCCTCAATGTCCTCATCAAACTTCTGGAAGTGGTCCAGCCGTGCCTTCAAGCTGCCAAAGAGCAGAAGGAGGTCCACACCCCAAAGTAAGTGACTGGTGCTGAGGTCTGCTTTGTTAAGGTGGGAGCACCTGCTTAGTGCCTCTGTGGGCCCCTGTGCCATGGCCATGTGAAGAGCTTAGATTCAGTTGGGGATGAGGAGTCTCCTGAGGGTGGTGGCCTTCCAAGGTTCCTTTAGGGCATTCACTGCCTCCCTTTTCAGATGGATTACCCCAGTGCTGCTCCTGATTGACTTCTATGAGAAGACAGCCATCTCCTCCAAGAGGAGAGCCCAGATGAACAAGGTAGGCCAAGGTAGACAAGGTGCTGGCCCTTGACAGAGGCCAAGGCCCCCAGTATGGGCAGAGAGTTGGGGTTTTGGGTAATCCTGTGGCCCGTGTTGAGGAGCTAAAGCAAAGTCATCATCTGGTGACCTTGGTTGTATTTACCCTGGGACTAGAGAAAATCTTAGGTGCAAATTAGATGGTTTCTTCCAAAGGTTTGATGGTGCCTCCTGCAGTTTTTTTGAAGTAGGTGTTGCCATTCACTGATAGCCTCCAGAATAACAGTCCCTTTGTCCGAAAATACTGACTGCTTGTGTCCCTTGTTAGAAGGGCCTGGTCTTCCTGAGGAAGCCTTTCTAGACAGAGTGACTTGGCGAGAGGTAACTGCTCACCTCCCTCTGGCAGAGGGTAGGTGACCTGCTCCTTTGTCCACTAGTACCTCCAGGCTAACAGCAACAATTGGCGCTGGTTTGATGACCGGTCTGGGCGCTGGTGCAGCTATAGCGCGAGCAACAACAGCACCATTGATGCTGCCTGGAAAGCTGGTGAGACAAGTGTCCGCTTCACAGCTGGCCGGCGGCGGTACACCGTGCAATTCACCACAATGGTGCAGGTACGTGAAGACACACTTTGTCTCACCGAGCGCATGTGTGTGCAGACACACACACACACACACACACACACACACACACACACACACACACGGCCTTGCAGAAGTCAGGCATATCTGTTGTTAACAAAGAATTGGAGGAGAATGGGCTTGGGTAGGCTTTAGCACAAACATTGGCCTAAACTGGCTCTTGGTGCATTTGCTAAGCCAGTGGTTTAGGGTGATCTGGGAGCCAGGAGTCTGAGTTCAGAACAGAGTGGCGATCATCCAAAGGATTGACCAGCCTTTCTAAAGTCAGAGGCACATCCCTGGTATGGACCAAGGGTGGTCTTCGTTATTCTCATATTTGCCTCCTTGGAGCACTGCCAATATCCTGATTGTGTATCCATGTGAAGGGCTTCTTAATGGGGAAACTCTGCCTTGGTTTTGCACACTCCCAGCATGCCTGTGATGAGGCTAGAGGAAGTGGGTGCACTCAGCCTACAGCTGAGAAATCGGACCTGGCCCAGGCACAGCAGGGTTAGCAGTCAGCTGGCTTTTACTTGTATAGAACCACCAAGGCATGGATGGATTAGTTTATTTCCAGTATGGGGGGGGTCACGCCTTGTGTATCATACGTCCTTAATGTCCAGGTCAACGAAGAAACTGGCAACCGGCGCCCCGTGATGCTGACACTCCTGCGAGTGCCACGGCTTAGCAAAAATCTCAAAGATGGCAATGAGCAGGAGCTGGACAAGACCCTGGATGAAGCCAAAGAAGTTGATGCGAAGCCAGCTGAGGAGAAAGCCTCCAGTGGTATGGGCCTCCTGCATCTTCCCAGTATTGGGCAAGCTGGGCCTTGAGTCCCTTTTGTTAACTGGCTCTTTATCACTCATCTCTCTCATTAAGCTTCCCCCTTGGCTAGAGGATTTGTGCCTGCTATTATCTCCATAGCAAGCTTGATTAGGCCTTTGTTCCAGGGAGTCAGAGCCATTTCAGGAATCTTTCATATTCTGTCACCCTTTCCCAGAATGCCCCTTGGCTCCTGAGAGTCCAACCCTTGAGAAGGAGCTTGTTGCTGAGGAGGCCCAGCTGGGGGAGATCCTGATCCAAGGCCTCACGGAGGAGATGGTGACAGTTCTGATCAGGGCCTGCGTGAGCATGCTGGGTGTTCCAGTGGACCCAGACACACTGCATGCCACTTTGCGCCTCTGCCTGCGGCTTACCCGAGACCACAAGTACGCCCTGATGTTCGCTGAGCTAAAGAGCACACGCATGATCCTGAACTTGACCCAGAGCTCTGGCTTCAATGGATTTACCCCCCTGGTTACTCTGCTCTTGAGGCACATCATTGAGGATCCATGTACCCTGCAGCATACCATGGAAAAGGTGTGTGGCTAGCGCCTCTCTGCAGGCCTCAGCCTGTGGTGTATGAGCCCTAAGTGCCCTTCCCCCTCAGTATAACTTTATATTCTTGGCACCCAGTTGTGTCTTACCATGTGATAGAGTGTGAGTAGTCACGTGACAGTGTCGTGCCAGGGACTCCTTATCTTTAAAATGAAGCTGAGTTCAAAGCTAGGAGTCAAGGCTAACCCAGTTCCTGAGCAGTGGGTGAGCCCTTTGGAGATCACCTTGTGTTTTGTCTCAGTGTGACCTGAATACTTTTTCAGCTCTTCCTATTGACCCTCCCCATGATGAGCTAGGGGATCCTCTGGGTGGGCATGGCTCTAGTTTGCCAAGGGTTGCACTTTTGACAGTGCATCATTTTCTAGGTCGTGCGGTCTGCAGCTACAAGTGGGGCAGGAAGCACCACCTCTGGGGTGGTATCGGGCAGCCTGGGCTCCCGGGAGATCAACTATATCCTCCGTGTGCTTGGGCCAGCTGCATGCCGTAATCCAGACATCTTCACTGAGGTGGCGAATGGCTGTATCCGCATTGCTCTTCCAGCCCCTCGAGGTTCAGGGACCGGTGAGTCTCAAGACCATATGTTTTTCAAGGTGCAGTGGCCTTGGATGTCTCCAAGCATCCTGATTCTGAGACATCGACGTGCTTGGCATAATGTTTGCGTGCTTATGCTCCCTTTGGAAGTTTGGTTTTTGTTGTTTCTTTTTTTTATCTGGGGGATCCATTAGATAGCAGCTGTGACCCAAGCTATTTTAGCTCTTCTCTAAACAGGTTAGAATCAGCAGAGGATTGGGGCAGTTCAGGAAGGCAGTCTGGAGCAGGTGGGCTCAGAATTTTATCCCTGCTCAGTGCAAGCAGAAGACACAATGTAGGTCAAATTGGAGGCAAAGAAATAAAGTTTGCAAGTGGGAGGAGGCCCAGCCTTGTCTATGCCTGGAATTGTGTGCTTCTGATCAAAGAGTTTGGACTTGAAGATGGTGGAGCCATCTGTAGTGTCAGAATGCCTGGCTGCTAGTACTTAGACTTCTGTAACCTTGGGCAGGTCTCTTCTGGGCCTCACATTCTTCTGCAAATGAAGATGTTGGGCCCAGACAGTGCCCAATCTCCAAGTCTCTATCATTACTTGTACCATGGCAGCGTAGAATTAGTCTTAGCCCAGGTGGCTAGAGTCTAGTCTGAGCATTGTGCCAAGTACTAGAAGTCATCCTTTACCTCAGGAAGTCATGTCCTCCTACCTCTTTCATTTTAAATATGATGTGGATTCCAACCCAAGCCTTGGACTAAGTCCTTTTGCTAACATACCTCCCCCAGACTTAAGTCAGGTTGCGCCTGAGTGAGTGAGGCCTGCTCCGCATACTACCATCTCAGGACTATCCTGGTTGTAGCACTGCCTCCTCTCTCCTACTCCATCCAGTTAGAGAGCTAGAAAGGAAGCAACCTACCCCTGTCTCCTGAGCCCCTTTCCCTTGCCCTTTCAGTTTAGGGCCAAAGAGGAACTGGTGGGGATTTTGGGGGGGGGGGATTCTGGGTCCAACTCATTCTCATTTTTCATCCTTCCTAAATGCTGTCAAACCCTTTGGGATTTAGAAGGTCCAAGAATTTCTGGTTTCATAGTCAGGCTCTGGCCATGGAGTAGTAAGGCTGTAGCTCTCCCCCATTTCTTTGGGGCTGAGGATTGTCATCATTGCTGACCAAGAAACCTTTGCTTTTGTCCTCCCTCCCTCCCCCCTTTGGCTCAGCATCAGATGATGAATTTGAGAATTTGAGAATCAAAGGTCCCAATGCTGTGCAGTTGGTGAAGACAACTCCAGTCAAGCCCTCTCCTCTGCCTCTCATTCCGGACACCATCAAGGAGGTGATTTATGACATGCTTAATGCCCTGGCTGCCTACCATGCTCCAGAGGAAGGTATGTGGCTTGCTAAATGGTGGAGAGAGCAGATTACATGTGACTAAGGAAGCCCCTCTATGGATGATGCTTCTGCTTTGGGTACCATGGGCCACTAGAAAGATATGGATTAGATTGTCTTAAACCTGGGATTCCCATGGAGCCTTAAATATCTATTCCACAGTTAGCAGAAACATTCAGTTCCAAGTGCACAGAAATGCCAGTCACAACACAGGAGACATCTTGTGTTGGGTGAGAGCTATGATGAAGGAGACACTAATGTACAATTGGAATATTTTGGTGTGTTTGTTTACATGACTGGTGTGATCATTCCATGGGACTGGCAGTTGTATCCTGGACAGAGCACCCAGACCCAACTAGAGCTTCAGCTGGCCCCAGAGCATCCTAACGCTAAAGCTATAATTTGGGGGGGGGGTGTTTTTTAGCAGAAAAATCAGACCCCAAACCTGGGGTGATGACTCAGGAGGTTAGCCAGATCCTGCAAGACATGGGGGATGAAGTATACCAACAGTATCGATCTCTGACACGCCAGGGCAGTGACTTTGATGCTCAGACTGGCTTCGCCATTAATGTAAGTCAGTTGTTTCTGGTAGCTTGAGTGAGCCTCCTCCCCTAAGGATGAGTGATATCCCAAAGACATGTGGTCACATTGAATGATTGTACCTATACAGTTATTTTTCCTTGGCATCACCTGTTCCCTATTGGAATGGCTAGCTTCAGCTGTAAAAAGGATTTCCTTTTCATTCAGCTGCTGAAATTGTGGAGTGGAGTGCAGAGGGGGCACATGTCCTAACCAGAGTCAGCTCCGTTAAGTCAGTTTGTCTCTGGACCTTGGAAATAAAGAGCTGACTCCTCTAGTGCTTTCCTCACTCACAACAACAACCCTAACCCTACCCCTGTTTGGCAGATCAGGACATGTAGGCATCAGTCATAAAGTGCATGGCTCCAGGGTCCCACTCCTGCTCTAAGGTGGGATTCAAACCCAGGTTTGTTGTGCCCAAGCCTTGTGTCCTCCCCGCAATGCCTGTGGTGGTGATGAGGAAACAAGATGCTGGGTGTGGAGGAAGCCAGTTTCTTCTACATCTGGAGCAGCCAGCTTGCCCCCCATCCCCAACTCCTCCAGACATTAATGGGGATCGTTTCCTGAGAGAAATACAAGGTCACTCCCCTGTCTGGAAGAGTGCAGTTGGAGTCTCCGGAAACACAATATTGAAATCACGGCTTTGTGTTCTTCCTTTTTCCCCTGTGCACAGGCTCAAGTCTTTGCCACCGATGGTGCATCCACTGAGACACCTCAGTCAGGGACCCCACAAGGAGGAGGTAACAATTAACCCAGCTATTTCTTGAGCCTTTGGCTGTCCTGCCACACTGCCCTAAGCATGTGGATAGGGGGACCTCTGGCCACGTCTCCTTATTTAGCTTACTCTAGGCTGAAATAGAATGACTTTCTGAAGCTCATGAAAGGCTGACTTAATCCAAAACCAGGGTGGCCCACTGGGAAGCTAAGCTAAATGTGGTAGGGCTCACTGTAGGGGGGCACTTGTGACAAAGCAGGGCCCGAGGCCTAGCCCAGAGTCAGAGACAGGAGCATTTGTGAGGTTCATCACTGTTCTAGTCATTGCTGAGGCCTGGAGACCTGGTGCTTTGCACTGGGTGTTGTTGCTGGGGATTGTGGTAGCATTTCTGCCATCTTCCAGGCAACAAAGCCTGTTTCTTGATGGGTTTTATGTCATACCAATCACTGGGCACTTAATAAGCCACTTACTAGTTGGTGGGCTCAGTACAAAGACAAAACTAAAGCAATCCTGTCCTCAAGTGGCTTACATTCTAAGAGAGCAGAGAACACGTAGACATAAAGCACGTTCAGAATCGGTACAAGAAAGTGGGAGGTGGTGGTGGTGCTGCTGCTGCTGCTGGTGGAGGTAGGCGAGGGAGAGAAAGCAGCTCAGTTTTGAAGGAGGGAAACTGATTGGGAAGGAAACAGCAAAACACTGAGAGGACAGTTAGGGTCAGGGTATGAAAAACCATAAGGCTCAACTGCAGAGCCCAGGAAGGGGAAAGGTTAATGGGGTTGGGACCTGAGAAGGGCTTGAAATACAACCTGAGTTATTGTTTGCCCCTAGTAGTTGTGATCCACTGAGTAGGGATAGGGCATGGTCCAAAACACATCTTTGACAACAGAGTGAGTGAGAGGCTTGAGGTAGAGATACCAACCAGCAGGCCGTTGCCTCCTGGCAAAGAGGGGGTGAGGGCAATGGGAGTTGGAGTGCAGAGAAGGGGGCTTTTTTTTTTTCTTTTTGGTGAGGCTTAAGTGACTTGCCCAGGGTCACACGGCTAGTAAGTGTCATGTGTCTGAGACTGAATTTGAACTCAGGTCCTCCTGACTCCAAGGCCAGAACTCTATCTACTGTGCCACCTAGTTGCTCAAGAGAAGGGGGCATTTACAAGGGACATTTAAACCATAAGATTTGACCACTGTTTGGCTCTCTAGGGAGAAGGGCAGAGTTCACACCAATGTGACTTGGAGGATTGTGGCGCCCTTGATAGAAGAGGGAAGTTCGAAAAAGGAATTTGGGTCTTCATGTACTAAAGATTGCATCACCTTAGGCTTCCCAGCTTACTCTACCTGGGGCCATTCCCATTGGAACTGGCTCTTCTGTTGACAATCACTGTTGGCATTGAGTGTCCAGAGGGCAAGGGTAGGAATGGCGATTTGGTCCCCCTCTCCCCTCAGCAACTTCTACTCCAGAGGAGTCTCGGGAAGGGAAGAAAGACAAGGAAGGGGAAAGAGTCTCTGAAGAAGGCAAACAGAAAGCCAAAGGCAGCAAACCTTTGATGCCACCCTCCACCATCCTTAGGCTGCTGGCTGAGTTGGTGAGGTCCTATGTTGGTATCACCACTCTGATTGCCAACTATGACTATGCTGTGGGCCAGTCAGAGCTTATCAAAGAGGTATTTCCAGTCTGAAGCGTGTCAGTCACCCCTTCTTAGTGCTCCAGGGGCATGGGATGGAAAAAAGCAGGGATTTTGTGCAAGTTGAGGGCTCCATTTCTCAATTTACAGTGCCAGTCCACTCTTGACGTCCCTAATGCCGAAATCTCAGTCTTTTCCTACTTTGGAGGCTACTTGCCTCAAAAATCAGAGCACGGGAAAGGAGACAGTTGGACAGCATAAGAAGTTCTCTGTGCGAGGAGGTTGGAGGCCAAGGTTCTCCTGGTTAGCAGAGTGATGTGATTTTCCATGAGTCTGTTACCTACTCCTCTCTGGGTCTATTTCTCCATCTTAGCCGTTAGGAGATTGGCCATATACGGCCAAGTAGGGCTCTGTCTCACTTGTTTCCTGGTACATTGCTGTGAAACAGAAAGCCACAACCCTACCAGGCGATGTTTCCCCAACCCAGTCCTAGCTTTGGCTAAGCCTCCCTCCTTCTCTAGCCTTTGCCAAACCTCCCCCATTGGCCAGTCCAGGTCAGGGACCAGGAACAGAGCCTATTGGTCAGAAAAGTTCATGGGCTGAGATGTGTTTGGGTAGACCAAGTCACATAACTCCTGTAGAGACAGCACTGTCCTGCTTTGAGCCACACCTTTGGTTTTGTGGGCTGTGGATGGATACAGTAGCAGGGAGCACTCCAGGCCCATTAGCCAAGTGCCCTGGCCTCCATTCTTAGCCATTCCATGGGAAGCTCTTTCCATTTGATCTTAGCCAAGACATTTCCTTTCCCTGGACCCTCTACAGGGAACATTATAGATATGATTCCCTCATCTCTGAGGGAAGTACCATGTCAAGAAGTGAGTGCCAACCTCACAGAAGGATTTGGGATAGCAAAATTAGAGTCTCTCTTTCTTGGCACTAAGGGAGTCATTGCTAGGATGCCCTTGTGATCAGAGGTTGTGGCTTATTTTTTTTTTTAGGACTGCAGTGTGTTGGCATTTGTCCTGGACCACCTTCTGCCACACACCCAGAATGCTGAGGACAAAGACACTCTAGCACTAGCCCTCCTCTTTCTAGCCAGCCTGGCTGCAGCAGGCAGTGGCACAGATGCCCAGGTGGCCCTGGTGAATGAAGTCGAGGCCGCTCTGAGCCGAGCATTGGCAATGGCTGAGAGCACAGAGAAACATTCCAGGTAAATGGTCAAGGTCCCAAAATGTGCCCTCTGTAGCCCTTCAGTCAGTAAGCATTCATTAAGCACCTACTATGTGCCAGGCACTAGCTTCTCTGTATCGCCACCACTGGGCATAGTCCCCTCCCTCAAGGAGGCAGAGGAGGCAGCACACATATACTTAGAAGCAAACTCTAGATAGGATAAATAGGAAGTAGATAAATGAGGGAAAGAATTGAAGGGAGTTAAGGAGGGCTTCCTGTAAAAGATGGACTTGGAGCTGGAACTTGAAGGAAGCCAGAGAGGTCAGTAGGGCAGAGCAGAGGAGGGAGAACATCCAGATGGAGGGTCTTGTTCGTGAAATAACCAGGAGGCCGATGTCACTGGATCCAAGAGGACCTGTCAGGGAGTGGAGACTAGACAGGTAGGAGGGGGCCACGTAATGAAGGATTTTTGATGCCAAACAGACCATCTCATATTGGATCCTGGAGGTAATAAGGAGCCGCTGGAGTTTATCCTAGAGTAGGGGGTGGGGTGACATGATCAGATGTGTGATTTAGGAAGATGACTTTGGCAGCTCAACAGGGGATAGACTGGAGGCAGGCAGAGCCACCAGTAGGCTATCACAGTAGTCCAGGTGTGAGGAGATGAGGGCCTGTAAGAGGGTGTGACAGGTAGCGGCAGAGAGAAGGAGGCCTATTGGATACATACGGCAAAGGTGAAATAGATGGGCCTTGGCACCATATTGGATACTGGGGGGTGAAAGAGTAGAGTCCAAGGGGCAGCTAGGTGGTGCAGTGGATAGAGTACTGGCCCTGAAGTCAGAAGGACCTGAGTTCAAATCCAGCCTCAGACCAAACACTTGACACTAACTAGCTGTGTGACCCAGGGCAAGTCACTTAACCCCAATTGCCTTTTAAAAAAGAAAAAAAAAAGTGGAGTCCAGGATGATTTCTAGGTTATGAGCTGGGGGGGGGTGAGTTGCAAATTCTGCTTTGAGCATTTGATGTTTAACATATCTACTAGGCATCCAGTTTGAGGCATCTAAAAGGCAATTGGACAAGCAAAATTGGAGGTCACCAGAGAGGTTGGGGTGGGAAAGGGAGATTTAAGGATTGTCAGCATAGAAATAGATGGTCATTCAATCCATGGGAGCTGGGGAGGTACCCCAGTGAAGATAGTCTAGAGGAGAAAGAGTAGAGGGCCCAGAACAGACCCCTCATGGACCCCTACAGCAAAGGTGGGGTCTAGAAGAGGAACCAGCAAAGGAGGCAGAGCAGGAGCAGTCAGAGAAGGAGGAGGAGAAGCAGGGCAGAGGGTGTCCTGAAAACCTAGAGATGAGAGTATTGGGTAAAAGAGGGTGATCAACAGTGTCAAAAGCTGCAGGGAGGTCAAGAAATGTGAGGATGGAGGAAAGGCCATTGGATTTGGCAGCTAAGAGACCGTCGGTCACTTTGGAGAGAGTTGGTTTTGTGGAATGATTAGGTTGCAAGCCTCGTATTGCTTGTGGGAGGAAGTTTCTTGGCAGTAGTGCTGCTGACTGGACTAGGTCACATCATCATGGGTTGAGTGAAAAGTCCTGCCTCCAAAGAACAAAGCCCTCCCTTCCAGGCTGCTCCAGTGTGGCCTTGGGAACTAGGGGTAGGGCTTGCATGCAGTCCTGGGGAGGCCCTGGCAGCCCTTTCTTGCCTACCGCAGGCTCCAGGCAGCCATGTGCATCATAAGCACCATCATGGAGTCATGCCCCTCCACCTCTAGCTTCTATAGTAGCACCACAGCCAACACCCAGGACAATGGCATGAATAACATCATGAATGACTTGGCACGAGTGCCCCACAGCCTCGACCTCTCCAGGTAAGACACCAGCTCACAAGGCATTCACCGCCTTGGCCCCAGTGCACTCCTTTCTTCCTGCCTTCCTCCCATGAGCACCTTTGCCCTTGCTGGCTGCCTATGAAATGGAAGTCTTCAGCTAGGCAGTCTTGGTAGGTTAGGTTACCACAAGGCCTCTGACTGCCCGGGGGCCTGCCCATCTCATCCGCCAACAGAGGAGCTCAGATGTCCTCACTGCCAGCTTCTCTTTCTGTCCTCAAGCCCCAACGCTGGGTCACTGACAAGGCGATGATGCCATTTTAGAACCACGTGCTTATAGAGATCGAAGAACATCCAGAATATTGCAGAGGAAATCCATTTCTAATCAAACACAGCGATCAAGGAATGGAGAAGGAGGGAAGCACCTAGAAAAGGCTCAGATTCCCAGGCTCTCATTTGTACAGTGACCCCTCCTTTGCCCTAGGGATTTTCTTGAGCTGCAGTACTACGTGCTCATGATCCATACAGATGGTGACTTCCACTCTGAGATCTTTGCCGGATCCCTTGTGCTCACTTTATCTTTCTCTCTCCCTGCACGTCAGACCAAACATGGCCAACACTGTCAATGCTGCCCTGAAGCCTTTTGAGACACTGTCTCGGATTGTGAACCAACCCAGCAGCCTCTTTGGTAGCAAGAGTGCTTCCAGAAAGAGCAAATCTGAGCAGGATGCTCAAGGAGCATCTCAAGGCGCCAACAGCATCACACAGGACCCAGGTAGGAGAGCCGGGGAGTTAGGCTGTGGAGACAGATGGCACACTCATCTGTGTGTGAGTCACACATATGGTAACGCTTTCCAAACAGGTCCACTAAGTGTGGGAAGATTTCTCAGTCAAGCCATCACAAGTCCAGCCCCTAGCAAAACCCCTGAAAGAGCTACCCAAGGCAGGCTCCTCTGTTCCAGAGGACTTCGGTTTGCTGCTGCTGCTTTTCCCTCAGCTGGACCCTGCCTTCATTGAGTGAAATGGCCCTCCCAGGTCACCTTGCCCTCTTCTCATCTGCCTTCCTCATCTGAGTGTCATGAAATAAATATTTATTGTTTCAGGGGAGATGGGGGAGACAGAAGTGCAGGAGAAGGCCCACAATGCCACTCAAACAGAGGTTGCAGATGGCGATATCATGGATGGAGAAGCCGAGAATGACACTGTAGTGATTGCTGGGCAGCCACAGGTGCTCAGTACTCAGGAGATGCAGGTATGCCACCTGTCTGGCCTGCTTGTAACCATTGTCGAGGTGCTCATAGCTCCAGGCAGACCGCCAAAGACACACTGGCTTTCTGACCCTGAGTGAATCTGGCAAGTTACAACAGTTCTAGGTCCCCACTTTCCTGTCTGTGAAAAAGAATGTTGAGATTAGTGATGCCTAAAAGCCCAGCATCAACAAAGCTGGGCTAGTTGAGACTTTCTTGGAACCAAAATAGAGAGACATCTGTGGGCATTGGACCTTGTAGAAGCCCGTGTAGGTTTGGGTGTGCCGGGTGCCCTTGTCCCAAGTTCATCGAGCCATCAAGGAAGCTACGCCCAAAGGCTAGGCTGTGTGGCTCATGGTGCAAGTGTGGCCCAAGTGGAAGGCCAAGCAGGCAGTACTGTCTGGGCTGTTGGCCAAGAGCAAGCTTTGTGAGACTGGCACTCTCTACCAACGCCACTCTGAGCCCTTGGCCTGGGCCTAGTTTTAGCCAAAGACACGGTGGCATTGCTGCCTCTTGTTTCTCCTCAGGTCGAGAACAAGCTTGAAGACTTAATAGATGAATTGCTGGAGAGAGATGGCGGATCTGGGAACAGCACAATCCTAGGGAAGTGCTGTAGAACTAGGCAATCTTTCTGTTCCTCTGGATCTCTCTCTCTTCTCCAACCCATATATACCCTCCATCGCGCCCTGCCCGTTTCCCTCTCCATCACCTGTCTCTCTCCTCTCTATCTCTCTTTTCATCTCTCACTTCCCTCCTTCTTTTCTCTCTTCTCCTTCTCCCCTCCTTCCCTTTTCTTCTGCCCACTTCCCACCCCCAAGACTTGAGAGAATGTTGCTCCTTTCTCAGCCCCGGCTTGCTCAGCTCGACCTAAGCGTGTCTCAGTCGCACACTGGGGCCTAGAGCCCAGCCTGTGGTATGCCATCAGGAAAGCAGACATGTTTCTCCTTGCGTGAAGGTCTTGCTCTTCCTGGGGGTTTTGCATGAATTGTAGGTTGAAAGAGAGAGTTTGACTTCAGGGCCTCAGCAGTCTTGATGTGGTGGTGGCCCTGCCCCACGGTGACAGGATCACGGAAGGGGGCAGAACTCCTCTGTTGTCATTCAGTTATGTTTCAGGATGGGCTGAGGAGGGTAGGAATTTGCCCTCTGAGCCACAAAGAAGGAAAAGTTCTGGGACCTGAGTGTGCCCAGGCTCAGGGTCCGGAGGTAGCCTGGGCCGACCTGAAGTAGAAGGGGAAGCCATTTTTTCCGATTTCAGTGGCCTGGTGGGTTCTGCTTTGTAACATTCAGTGGGCAGAAGTGAAAAGGACGAGTCACGAGAGGATGTGCTGATGGATGAAGCTCCTTCCAACCTCATCCAGGCTTCCACCTTGCAGGCCAACTGAGAAGGTAAGAGTGCAAAGGCAAATCAACCCTCCCATCATGCCCTTTCAAGCCTGGCACTCCACCCTGCCCAATTGGATGAGGTAATGGGGTCTCTGTTGGTCTGCATATGGCTCCCAGGCCACATGGGGATACATCTGCAGGTGGCCCAGTGTGTCCTGGGGTAGTTGGCAACTTATTGGTTTGGCATGACTCACTTTTCCTGAAGTTTTCTCCTCTTCCATCTACCAATTCCCATTGATTCTAAAAGCTCTCAATAAGAAGGATGTGACAGACATGGGGAGAAAGCCAAGAGAAGGAAGGGTGGGCAGCTTGGGGCCCAGCATCAAGTGTGCTCCCTTCTACCCACCCACCCCCACCTCAACCCTGCCTCATCATTACTAACCTGTGCAGCTTGTTTTCAGGATAGGGGCCTCTTGGGGCTTTCAGGAAGCCTAGGCCATCTGGAGGCCTCCAGGACTTGCCTTCATTCCGCCTCTATCCCCATCCCTCCTTCCCTGCCACCTACCTCCCCTTTGGCTCCACAGCCCTCTAGTGTGATTCTTTGTTGTAGATTCAATGAATTTCTTGGATGCTGAGGATGAGGAGGAGCACACCCAAGAGGGGGGACAGCAGCGGAAGTAATGAGGATGAGGATGAGAGTCAGGATGAGGAGGAAGACGAGGAAGATGATCAGGTTGATTCCCTTACGCCCATTTCCCCAGGGCTGGTGTCTAGGCCATCACCTTCCCTCTTCTGAGCGTCTCACATGCGGCGGTCTCCTTCCTTAGGACAATGAGGAAGGAGAAGAGGGAGACGAAGATGACTATGATGATGGCTCAGAGATGGAGTTGGATGAGGATTACCCTGACATGAACGCATCTCCCTTGGTTTGCTTTGAGCTCTTCGATCGAGAGGATGACCTCTTCATTGAATTTGACAACAGTGCTAGTAACAGCCGCACCAGCACTCCCTTAGGGAGCTGGATTTTCACCCTCCTGTGTCCTGTCTTTGTCTGCAGGGGATCACTCTCAGTTGCACCTGCTGTCTGCCTCAGGCCATGGACGGGCTTGTCCTCAGTGAGCTAGCAGCACAATTGGTTGTCCACCTCATCGTAACCAAGAACACTAAGGCGGTGACTGGCAAGCACATCTCTCTTTCTCCTTCCTTGGGTAGGTTGGACGTTGCAGGATTTGATGAGAAAGCCACCTTAACTTTTGTAACCAAGACATCTTGGCTTTGGTTTGGAGAGAGAGAAAGCATCTTCGACTCAAGACCTTCATGCCCGTGTGACTGTACTTAATGACTTGGCCTCTGGTGGTTAAGCAGATATTGGGAGGCTAAACCCCGGAAGAAATGTGATGCCTCTGTGAGGAATGTGCCACCTTTGGCCTAAATATTAGGTCTTACCCAGCAGACATAAAAGTAGAGTCCAACTATACATGCAAGTAGGAGTTAGGACAACTTCAAACACCACCACACACACACACACACATACACACCCTCCAAAAGAAAAAGAAAATGTGACATGGGGAAGGTTGGGACTCCTCCAAGATGGCATAAAAGAATTGTGTGGTACAAAAGTTAAAGTGGTTAGAAAAATATCCTGATCGTTGAATTCCTGTGAGCCTGCTATGGGTCAAGCCTTGCAACTAGGCCTCACTCCTATAAGGAGCTCCCATTCTAAAGGGAGTCAACCAGGCTGTCAAGGGGAGGCCTACAGAGGCCCTCAGCACAAAGCCAAATTGAGAGTAAATCACAAGTGGTTCAATACAAGAGTAGCTTGAGAGCACAGGGGAGAACAGGAAAGTCTTCTGGCAGCAGTTACTGCTTAGGCCTCTTATGCACAGCTAGTACCCAGCAGCACAGATAAGACATTTCAGCTGTTCAGGAGGAGCACAGGTCAGAGGGTGCGGGGGAGGAGGCTAAGCCTAATCCCATAGAGTAAGGCTGCAAAGCTAGGCTGGGAGCTGCTTGGGAAAGGCAGCTTCTAGTTTGTACTATATGCTGAAGGCCACAGGCTCAGAGTTTGGTGAGCAGTGAAATGTGGCAAAATCTGAGCTTGAAGAAAGGGAGCTGGCAGCAACATGGCCCAGCCCAGGGAGAGTCAGAGGCTTGGATCAATGTGAAAGGTGCTTTGGAGGTAGAATTGGCCGGGTATGTGGGGGAGGAAAGAAGGGTCTCAAGCTAAGGTTTCTGACCTAGGAAAGTAGGGGGAGCAGTTTCAGAATGGGGTGCCTTTGATGAAAAAGATGGAGTTGTTGATATCATGGGAACATCCAGTTGGGGAAGTATCTGTTAGGCGGTTAGCAATGGGGCCTGAAGCTCAAGTGTGAAACTGGGGCTGAGTGTCTATAGTTCTGCAAGTTATCTATGGAGAAATGATACTTAAACTTACAGGTGCTCATGAGGTCCCCCTCCAGTAGCAAGTGTAGACAGGGCAGTGGTGGCCTAGGAGAGAGCCCTAGGGAATACCCACCATTGAGGGACCATTTAGGGGGGAATTAGCCAGGTGGGCCAAGAAGCCTGGGGAGAGAGAGGATCCAGCCCAAGTAGGTGTTAAGTGCGTTGGGTGCCACACCTAAGTCAAGAGAAGACTCCTGTTTTAGCAGTGGAAAGTTCCTTGGTGACTTTAAGGAGAAAAGTTTCAGTGGAATGAGAAGCAGATAGCCAGAAAGGGTTAGAAGAGAAGAGAAAGAGTGAATAGAGGTGTTGAGTGTAGAGCAAGGTCAAAGGCCAGTACCTGAAGGGTAGTTGATGGCATCCTATTCAGTGTTTCTTAGAGAAGTTTGAATGCTCAGTAGACAAGGAGAGGCAATCTGGAGAAGACAAGGGAGAGAGGGTTGGGCAGGCCCTAAGCAAGAGGAAGGCCGGTCAATGGGTGGGCTGTAAAGAAGTTTGGGGGGGGAGCAGCATTGGGGTGGTGGGCTTGCACCTGTCCCCAAATCAGCAAGACCTTGGGGCATGTTCCATCTCTCCCTTGGCCCCCCTCAGTTCCCTCATCTGTAGACTTAAGCAGGCTCTGTGAGGTTATGTGTCACTGTCTGTGACTCCACAAGATTTGCAGCCTGCCAGGGCCCTGGCCCTTCCAGTCCAGCCAGCGGGGCCCAGGAGATAGCAGGCGGCTCGAGAATTTGCCCTCTGTGCCCTAATACCTCATGCATCTTCTTTACAGCAGATATCCCTCCATCCCCTGGGAACATCCCCACTACGCATCCATGAGTGGTACGGTATGTACTCACAGCTCCCTCACCCTGGGCAGTGGTTCCTCCACCACCCGCCTCACCCAGGGCATAGGCCGAAGCCAAAGGACACTGAGGCAGCTGACAAACAACACAGGGCACTCGATCCATGTGCACTACCCTGGCAATCGACAGCCCAGCCCTCCCCTCATACTGCAGAGGGGAGTTGAGTGGGAAGTGCCTGTTATTCTCTCCAGGTTGTGCAAGTTCCTCTGCTATGCCTTCCTTCCTTTCTTTCTGGTGCAGAGGGGGAGGAGCTCATCCTGGCACTTCATTGGTAGAGGGACCCTCCCAAGCTAGGAAACACCCCTGCCCCCAATTCAAGCCTCTGCCTTCTCGATAACTTAGCATCTCCCCAGGTGGCCTAGAGGAACAAGAGTTGAAATGACCTGGTCAAGTTCCCACAGCCAGTGTCAAAGGCAGGATTTGAACTCAGGGCTTCCTGGCGTAGAAGCCAGCCCTCTGGCCTCCACTTTGCTACACCACCAGGGCAGGATGCCAGAGAAAAGTTTGCACACTATGGAATTTTAGTCTGTTTCTGACCAGGATCTAGAACTGACCCCCCCCCCCAACCCCGATGTACGTTCTGTGAGCTCAGACAACATGGGCTGGCGGCATGCAGTCTGGCCAAGATCGGCATTACCTCCTTTTTTTTGACAGATTAGATTAATGAAAGTTCCCTGTTTTCAGCAGGACTGTAGGGAGATAGAGATTATTTGTTGTTGTTCAGTCACTTCAGTAGTGTCTCACTCTCTGTGAGTGAGGCCCCATTTGGGATTTTATTGGCAAAGACACTGGAGTGGTTTGCCATCTGACAGCTGGAGAAATGAGATAAACAGGGTGATGTGACTTGCCCAGGATCATGCAAGTAGGAAGTGTCTGAGGCCATATTTGAACTCGGGTCTTCTGACTTAAGGCCTGGCACTCTATCCACTGAGCCGCCTAGCTGTCTCCAGGGGTTTAGCAGGTAAGCTAGGTAAGTGGCTCCCTTAGCCTGGAGAGAGGAATGTCTCCAGCGGAGTGCCCCAGGGATCTCCCCTGAGTTGAGCCCTGTCCTGCTCAGCACTGTTGCAGACAGCCGGTTCAGCATTCAGTGGCCTCGATTCGCTAGCCCTCAGCAGGAAGGAGTTTGACAAAAGCCAGTCCAGAAGGCAGAGTTCTGGATGGCAGGTTGCTTGAGAAGGGGCAGTCCCTGCTGGGAGTTGGGAGCATTCTCTGACACCCCACAAAGGTCTCAAAGGAGGAAAATCCGCTGAGCCAAGGCCAGGTTACAACAAGGACAGGAAACGCAAGGATTTTCCTGGCCCAAGATGAGCCCTCTGCGAGTCTGTCCTTCGCTCCTGCAGCTTGTCAGCAGCGTAGCAGGGTGCTGCCGCTGATGGTAACTTATTCTCAACCCCCTGCTTTACCTGATCTCCTGAATGCTTTCTCTGCGTTTCCCCCCAATGTGCATTTTTTGTGGAATATTGCTTCTAGTCTATTCTGCTCACCTGTTTTTCTTTAATGAATTGGGGCTGGGGCTTCATGAAAGACAAGAATGCACCCCATCAGGAAGGGAGAAATAGAGAAAACCTTTCTGGTGGAAAAAAGCAGTTTGAAGTGGCTTTTGCAGGCTTCTATACCATGTACTTTCATGGACTCTGTGAAGAAGAAACATGTTTGGGGCAGCTATGTGGTACAGTGGATAGAGCACTGACACTGAAGTCAGGAGACCTGAGTTCAAATCTGGCTTCAGACCAAACATTTCACACCTACTAGCTATGTGACCCTGGGCAAGTCACGTAACCCCAATTGCCTAAAATGCAAAATAAATAAATTTTGAAGAAAGAAGGGCCATGTTCTCTGCCCCAGTCAGATCCATCTGGGAGCCTTGGGCTGATTACCCAGCATAAGAAAGGGCCTGGGAACCCCATCATCCAAATCTTGCTTTATGAAAAGTCAGGTTTACTCGGCCCAGAAAAACACTTGGTGTTTGTTACTTGAATGCCTAAAGGGCTGTGGTGGAGGGTGGGGAAGCAGAGTGCATTGTGCTTAGCTGCAGCCTAGTAAGCTGAAAGCTGATGAGCCTTATCCTCAGGACGTCTGTGGCTCTGAAACGGTACATAATAACAGTAACAACGCTGGGTGATTTCTTTGAATCCCTTGAGATGTCACGATTCTAAACCCTGTAACAGCTGGCCACCAGTGGTGTGGGCTCAGAGGGTCTGAGCACAAGCTGGAGGCCATGTGGCTGGGTGGACCTGGGGTCCCAATGCTTGCCAGCAGGTTCTTCCCAAGAAGTCACTGCTTGCTGGTGAGCACCCCGAGGAGGAACCAGAAATGGAATGAAGCATGGTGCTTAGGGTGAGGAGAAGAAGAGCCGGCCTTGAGTGCCAGGTCAAGCATGAGAGCCATGGCTTCACTGGGGACGCCAGCACAGCCACGTTACCTCTCTCTCCTTCTGTGCAGATTACTGGGTCCTTCTGCCGCAGCCGATATCCTTCAGCTAGGCAGCAGCCTGTCACTCCAGAGTCGTGGCCGAGCCCACCTGCTGGTGGGCAATGATGACGTGCACATCGTTGCCCAGTCTGATGACGAGCTGCTTGATGACTTCTTCCCTGACCAGAGCACAGCTACCAGCCAGGCTGGTATGTTGGCACAGTTCCAAATCTGTGCTGTAGGTAGAGTGACTGGGGAGGGAGGGAATTCACAGGAGTGAGCTCTCTTTATTCCCAGGGAAGCCTCATCTTCCACACTTGTTCCTTGTTGGGCCCTCAGGCCTTATTCCAACTCGAAGCTAGGGCAGTGCATTGGAAGGTGACCCTGGGTCCCAGTCCCATCTACAAGGGATTTACAGCATATGAGACCTTGGGCACATCACTCCCATTCACCTGTAAAAGTAGGGAAATTGTGGCTGGCCTGACCTGTAGCTCTCAGTTTGTGGCTCCCTCATCGTTTCTCTTCCCTTCATTTGCCCCTAGTAGTGAGTATTCTGAGACACCTACTGAGGTAATAGCTGCTGCTGAACTTGAGAGCTGGGCAGGGAATGGGGGGTGGATGATGGGGTGGATGATGGGGATGACGCCTGCAGCAGATGCCAAGCACTCCCTTGCTTTCTGCCACAGGGACCCTCTCAAGCATCCCCACAGCCCTGACTCTCTGGACAGAGGAACGCAATGTGCTTGATGCTGAGAGCATGCATGGCTGTGTGTCTGGTGAGTTGGGGCCAGGGCCACTGGGCTCTCGCTTCCTTGTGTGAGCTGCCTCCATCTAACCTGGCCCGCAGCCTGGCTCTACCGGCCATCTCCTGTCCACAGTGGTGAAAGTGCCCATCCTCAATCACCTGGAGTCCCTTAGGGATGAGGAACTGGAGGAGAGTCTAGAGAACCGCCGGCAGCAGCTGGCCAACAGAGAGTCCAAGGGGAAAGAAGAGAAGGAGAATAAGTAACAAAACACCCAGGTCATTAGGTATGGCCCTGAAGGGAAGGGAGGGAGAGAAAGGGAAGTGGCTAGCCAGACCCTCTTTATTTTACCCATGAGGAAACTGAGGGCCCAAGAAGGGAGGGACTTAGCCCCCGATCTCCTCGCCACATTCCTGGACCACAGCCCTGACTCACCGGCGAAGCTGGCAAGGGGCCAGCCATCAGCTCATCGTCCCCTGGTAGTGACAAATGCAGTGGACGTGGCCCAACAGCATGAGATCCTGAAGTCAACCTCCTTTTTGTTGGCAAGGCATACACCTGTGGAGGGCCACTCTGGCTGCCTAGTGGAATAAACCTAGGGAGTAGAGTCTATAGAAAGCTAGCCATTTGCCCACCAGCCATCCTCAGCCTCTACCCCAGAGGTCAGTGTGAGACAAAAAGCAGCTGTCCTTCACAGCAATGCCACGTTGGTCTTTTGCTTCCCTCCACAGGACACCACATCCAAAACGGATACTTCTGGCCAACAGAATGTCTCAGGTAATTGCCCCCCACCCCGCCCTTGGCTTTGACATTGTCACTCTAACCATTGGCTCTTTGACACCCTTTTTTCTGTTCTGAGTAACTGGCTCTAGGTGGGCGGAATCTTGAGGAAGAATCGCTGTGCTCCCAGGGATGAGGTAGTACATTGTATACTTTTAGAGTCACACCCGATCTTGGAGAAAACTATACAGTCTACTGTCTTTCCCACGGGGCTCCACTCTCACCAGGGCTCAGCCTCACGTGCATCACACGTGCAAAGTCCCTGCTCACATCCAGCCTCTCTTGGCTCGAGGATAGCACTGCAGGCTGCCTTCTGCCACGGTCTGCTCAGCCTGGCTTTTGCCATCAGAAGTCCATGATGGAAGCTGCCAAGGGGCTCCCGGAGGCTTCGTCTTGGGGGCCTATGCACCAGGCTGGCCACATCTAGGTGGGGAAGGAGCTTGGGGCTTCCAGACTTCTGCTGCCCCCACCAGCCTTGCTGGCCAGTGGCTGATAGAGCTTGGAGGGGGCTCGTCCACCCAAGGAAGGCCCTTTTGCCACCTGCTCACTTTCCCTCAGTTCGCCCCCTCTGCCTTCCCCCTGACAGGACAGGAGGGGGTGGTGATGATGATGATGGTGCTGCTGGTGGTGGTGGTTATAACAAGGACAACATTTGTAGAGAACCTCTTGCATGCCAGACACCAGCTAAATGCGTTACAAACATGATCTCACTGGATCCTCACAGCAACCCTAGGAGCCCAGAGCTGTTATCCCCATGTTGCAATTGAGGAAACTGAGGCAGACAGACATCAAGTGATTTACCTCACTTGTCATAGCTCTTAAGTGTCTAAAGCCAGATTGGAACTCAAGACTTTTCTGACTCCAGGCCCACTGCGGCGCCACCTTCATGCCTACTTGGATTGGAATTAGGGTAGATCCAGGCTTTCAGCCCAGGTCTTTAGACTCCAAATTGACCATCTGGGGACAGGGGGAGTTAGGCTTAGGGTTAGGGAGATTTAATTTATGTAGTAAGCTCCCTCTGCTAAGGTAGAACTGTGACTGTTGTCCAAAAGCTGCCAAGGGCACTGAGAAACTCTTTGGAACCCAGCTCTTGTTGCTTCTGAGTCAGTCTCTCTGTCTCTCTCTCTCTGTCTGTCTCTGTCTCTCTCTCGTCTGTCTCTGTCTCTCTCTCTCTGTCTGTCTCTCTCTCTCTCTCTCTCTCCTCCCCTCTCCCCCTCCCTCCCCCCACCTTGTTCACTCTTACCCATCTTCACTCTTTCTCCTCGGTCTCTCTCATTCTCTGTCTCTTCCTCTCCCTCTCCCCATTGTCTATAGTAAGAGGAATCAGGTCTCCCTGGGAATCAAGAGGTAGTAAATTGTATTTTGGGGAGATTGGGACTGTTCTAGCCCTAATCAGAAGACACAGCTTCTGCACCTTCCTCCTTTCCTGGCTGTGTGGGGATCCCTTTGCACCATTCTTGCCCTGAGCCACTGCTGCCCCTGCAGGCAAGCTGCTTGCAGGAAAAGTGGTAAATTCTCCCTCCTGAGTTTGATGGGAAGAAAGTTAATTTGCTGCTGTTATTGGCCCAGGAAAGGATGGCAGTGCACCTGCTATGTTAGAAGAGCCCTGGGAGGCAGCAGCAGGTGGCTGCAGGGAGGCAGGCCCAGGAGCCTGAATACCTGGTACAGCTGTCCATCCCCACCTCCTTCTTCAGGGCCATGTCCCTGAGTAGGCACTGTTCCCCCATCCTGGCCAGATGTGGAGCCGTTGTTTGCTACCAAGGTCTGGCCAACTTCTTGCCAGGTTGTGTACCCTCAGTGGCTCACAGGCTCCTCAGCCACTGGCTTTAATGCCCATTCCCCACTTTTTCCAAGAAAGATCAGACTCCTGGATCTGACAGCTACCCAATGACCCCATCTCCAGCTGAAGGCACTTCAGCCAGGCCCAAACAGCCGCTTGTCACTCTGGAAACCTCTCAACAACCACCTCCAGCAACCACCAGAAACCTTGACCAGGAGCTGCCGGCCCAGCTCCAGCCCCAGAGGCTGCCACCCAGCCTCTGATGCCGGCAGAGCATGAAGACTTTGGCGCTGGGCGAGCCAGTGGGGAAACAGAAGCCACACAAATGGAGTTCTCCCCAGCCCCACAATAAGTAAGCACCAAGCACAAAGCCAGTGCCGCTCCTTGGCCAGTGTAGGCCACAGTGACTTGTTAGGGGCCGTCCCTGGGGCTTGGGATCCTAAAGAGCGTCTGGTCTCAGCCCCTCGTTTTCCAGGGAAGAAACAGGACCAGAGAGAAGGAAAGGGGCTTTGCCCCAAATCCTGGGCCAAATTTGAATCAAGACCCTGGGACTAAAGCCAGCTACCTTGAGGGAAAGTTGGTGGCTGTTCTTCATGCGCCCCTCCCCCCCCCCACCGTGGATTAATTCAGGTTTCTGGAGTTCCTAGGACCCGCCCTGCCAGCTGGGGGGGGGGGGAGACAAATGCATGTATGCACAAATGCCAAAAAAAAAAGCTCTCTGCTGCCCAGTCCTGGGACTCTGTGGAGGGCACACTGTGAGCATGGGATCCAGTAGTGAGGAAAGCAGAGGTGAATATCAGAAGGGTGACTAGGAGATGGAGGAAGGTACTCCATGCAGTGGACTTTGCTGAGGAGAGGAATGGGGATGGGGAGCATGGCCCTGGGCCCAGGCAGAAGGCCTCCTCCTGACTGAATGAAAGAGGCTATGGCAGTTGGAGGCCCTGAGGGTTGTGGCCAATTTTGCTGACATCTCTTGCCCTCTTGTTGCTGCTCCCATCTTGCCCTATCCCCAACTCCTACTCACCGCAGGCAGGCAGGCATTGACTTGTCCTCTCCTGGTTTGTGCACAGCCTCCCTGTCTCCAGAAAGGGCCGAGCACTCTGACGCACTGACAGCTGTGAGCAGCCAACTGGAGGGCTCTCCTATGGATACCAGTAGCCTAGCGTCCTGCAACCTGGAGGAGGGAGTTGGGGACAGCACTGTAGCCAGTAGTGTGGAAGCTCCTGGGCCAGCTCCCACCACTCCTGGAGATCCACCTCAGGCTGGGACGGAAACACAAGGCAGTGGGGATGGGCCTGGAGAGTCCCCAGGACAGTCCCCACAGCAGGCTGAAGACAGGTACAATTTGGGCACCCAGGCAGCTCATTTCATAGGAC